TAATTTTCTCCTCCACTATCGCCTATGAAACTAAGTTTTTTCAATGCATTTAAATAAAACCCTAGATTGTTATACCTCGTTAGATAGCTGATGAAACGTAGATATTTTATAACATATCTGCCGATCAACTGCCATAATATTTTTTTTAGATATCCCTTAGAGAAAAATAAACTTTCTAATTTTTTTTTAATTTCTTAACTTTCTCTTTTCTACTACGGCGTATTGAATTAACTTATTCACTATATTAATGATTGAGGTCCTAAAGCATCTTATCACACATGTAAAAATGCAATAATAATAATAATAAGACACACAAAATAAACAAAATTAAATTTAGTAGCCTAAAAATCGGCAATTTTGAATAAAAAAAATAAAAGTCAAATATCTCGAAAAGGATTAAGTTTAGGGTAGGGTGTTTTATAGTAAAATAAGTCAGAAATGATGAGTACTCCACGCCCTTAACGGATCTAGCACGACTTTTCCTGTAACCCTGTATATAGAATACAAATTTCAACCAGCTTTAGTAAGGCCGTTGTGGCCAAGCGGTATAAGGATTGCTTTGCAAGTTGAGGCAAGCATGGTTCGAGTCACATTAAAAATAAAATATTATTTAGCTACATTATGACTATATACCTAACAATGGGGAGGTGTGAAAATTGTCGTTAGTAAAGCCGGTGCAAAACCAAAAGCACTTAACAAAAACTTCTTTTCCCGTTAAAAAGGCGTCTTGGCAATATTTAAACACAACACTTATTAGCATATAAGTTGCTACATATTATAGTTTATATAGTGATTGTTTTGCACAGTTAAATTTAGTGCCAATAGTAAATTACTTTAAAAATTTAAAAACAAACTTTCGATACGTGACAGTGAAGCAAATTTTGCAGTTTTAATTTTTAATTGCAAAAACTAATTGTAATAACACGAATGCACATATCTGTGCACTAACATCTACGTTCTTTACTTAAGTCTGAGTACATTTTTCGTCGCAACAAATGCATCGAACGCGTTAGCGTTAAAATTGTAATTACAGCAACAGAATTCGGGAGTGTACTTTTCCGTCATAAATGCAGAACAATTCGTTTTCAGAACCACGACACAGTGTAAAACATTTCGAAGCGCATTAAAAGGCCTTTGCAAGTGTATGTTCGAAATTTCACCTTCGAAAGAATTAACTAACACAAATTCTGTAGTTGTCAGTTGTCACTTGACGTTTGGCTTGCGAGACTATGCGTTTACGCGTAAATTTATTATTTTTATAATATAAGACTTGGTATGTAATTACTTTAATTTTTAAATCACTCCATATTTGAAGTATTAGAAAAATCATTAAACAATTTTAAAACTACAAAAGAACAACGCGTAATCACAGAAGACACGATCGTATGTAAACTGCAGAGCGATTTCGTGATTTATTAATTTGTCCATGCCCACCCTAAGCTTTATTAATTGCGGTGCGGTACACGCTCGGATTCGGACGTGCTCCACTGCACAATAAAGGTGTGTCCAAACACGGCGTGCAAGGTGCGCGGCAGTCGTCCAATCATAGCGCGGCAAGCCGCGCGCTGCAGCCGCGCTCGAATGCCGCTTTATGTTTGGACACACCTTAAGAATTATAATAATTCGCGACCTGCGCGGCAAGAGCCGCTGCACGTAATTGACTATTGGTTCTCAGCAACTCATAGCCAACGAACATTGACCATTGATGAACATTGACGTTTATACAACACGCCATAGATACCATGGACGAAGTCAGCATCGTGCAGATCTGCAAGTCAAATTTCAAAGAAGAAGAGATTTGCAGTGGCAAGGCGCTGCTTTTCCGGACGTTTGACAAAGCAGAGCAGATGCCGTCTCGTCGGAGAGATGGAGGAGCGAAGAGTCTCCAGGACATCATTACGTTGTTCAAGAAGACCGACCCAGACGACGTGCCTGCATTCGTGGCGAAGGAGCTGCATAAGCTGCCCCCTGTCACGTTCGATCACGTCGACGTCACCAGGCTGCTGAAGGACATCACGTCCCTAAAAGCAAGCCTTGCTGAAGTTCAGTGTAAATTGGAGGCCTCAGACGACACCATCAGTGAGTTGCGTGCCCAAGTTGTATTACTTAGTAGTGCGGCTTCGGTAAGTAGGTCACCTGAGGCCTGCAACGTGAACACTTTTCGCGGGGCGCAAAATGCTTCTTTCAGCAGTTTTGAGTCGGCTCACATGCATGTGTCACGACCTTTGGCGCTGCGCTGTTGCCGCGCGCGTTGGAGCTGCGTCGTCAGTACCACCGAGACGAGTTGATCAGTGCGACGAGGACGGCTTTCGGAAGGTGGAAAAGAAAAAGAAGAACACCAGCCGAAACTTTAGTGGCACCGCCCTGACTTGTCCGAATCATTTATTGCGTCCAGCGGTACCGACGACGTTGTTATACGTGTCGCGTCTTCATTACTCCACCAAGTCTGCGGATATTGTGGAGTACATGCGAGTGAAGGCCAACGCAAACCTGAGGGTCGAGCGGTTGGAGTCGCGCCACAATTTGAATTTTAATTCATTTGTGGTGCGAGTACCAACTCAACACCTGTCGACCTTCATGAGAGAAGACTTTTGGCCGAAGGGTGTCATGTTTCCGAGGACGGCTACCGGACACCCACGTTGCGTCACACGTCGAAGTACATACGTGTAAATAAATAATGTTATATGTATATTATCATGTTATATTGTATTTATGATTAGTCCGTAAGGTATTTATTTAATATTTCTGTTATTGTTTTATTATATTATTGTTATATTATATGTATGTTAGTCTGTAAGGTATGTATTTATGAGTCCTAGTTGCCTGAAATAAATAAATAAAATGTCTACCCACGCACCTTAGGCAATTTCCAGTGAGCAAATATTGTGATTTCTCAACGTTAACATTAAAAAGTGAAACAATGCCGTTAAAAATATAACAGAATAGCGCTCGTGGAATCGAACCACGGGTATTGTAACTGGCAGTCGATACAACAAGCCACTCGATCAATTTACTTGGATGTTAAATGACGAAATTCAGTATTGGTTTTAAAAATATGTTGATCGTCTTCAAGCAACACTTCACTGTATAGCTTATGCAATAAAGTTGAAATTGCTTTAATTTTTATTTTGTTCAATACGTAAGATGTCTCTCGGAAGTAAAAGGTCGGTTTGGGCATGTTAGGGCGTCAGGTATCTCACGTATGTGACTGTACATTACGGTTCTAATTAAAAACAAAAGTTTATGCATCTTCGTTTACCGCTCATTATTTTCAACTAAAATGTTAATGTAAGCTTTCACTTACATACAACAAAATAAAAATAATACAAATAAGTCCTTACAAACGATTTTTTGAAGAAAATTTATTAAGAAATAATTATAACTTTTTATTTAAAAAAAAAAACGATCTCAGAAGTTCGTGGAATTCCATCTATTTGCCATTTTATTAAAATCGGTTACCTGAAAGTGCGCGAAACCGGATTCATTCCCTAATTTGCCACCCTTAGAGGTGTGGAATATTGTCTTCAAAGTTAAATGGAACCAATACTGAAGTACCCTTTTTCAAATAAAAAAAGAATGATCAAAAATGGTTCACAAATCGCGGAGTAATCGCGTAGCACACACACAAAAAAGCTTGTCGAACTGAGAACCTCCTTCTTTTTTGAAGTCAGTTAAAAAATGAACATTGTAATTTTGCAATATAATTTACATTACTCATCTGCAATAATCTTAGGATGGGTTATATCACTTTGTCGGCTAAATTTGAAAACCTCGTAACACCGTTTTCGGATCCTTATGTTTACTGTTTAATTATAATATAATTCTAGGAATGCTTTTTAGAGATAAAATAAAGGTATGATTATAGATTGTCTTATAATTATTTCTAGTAATTCTGTTTTTGTGCCTTCTCAAAAGTTCACATTTTTGGAGTTACGAGGTTTACGAAGTTAGCCAAAGACAAGCATGTTTTAGTCGAAAACACCAGTATTTGACCAAGAATATGCAAATACTTTTGAATTTGTTTTGAAAAACTAAATTATGGCCTTAACATATCAAAATGAATAATGAGTAGTTGAAGTCCAAATTTTATAATATTGCTTAAATTTTCACAAAATCATTAAACAAATTTTATTCCGTTGGAAACAAAGTCGAGATCTCAAAGTTTTTTAATTTCTATTGATAGACAATCACCCTGGCCACACGTTTACACGAAACACAAAAAAGAAAAAGAAAGAAATGCATTATTTTAACATAGACAATTTATTTACAGGAAAGTGTAAAGAGTTAAGTGATACTAAAATAATTTACATTTCTGTAATCTATTATTCCAATAGTAGTAAAGTATTGAAACATAAACGTATAATTAGAGTCTTAGCATTTTTATGGTTTTAACGAATCTTGAACACTGGCAACAATAATGTTAATTCCAATTTGTATGTTCTTGAGCAAAAGATTGATTTGTATATACAGTATGTTGACTTAATAACTGAAAAAGTAAGGTAATTATAACCGTATAATATCCAAGCGCTTGTATTGTTCTTACTGCTATGTAAGTAATAGGTCTACCAGAGTGATGAAATGACAATTAACCAAAGAAAAAAATTTGATGAGCAATTTAAGTTGAATAACAAATTTATTTGGTAAATACGATTTAACACTGCTGCTTATTTTTACGCAAACGTTGATATATTCCCACTGTCAATTTAATGACATTAAAATATGGTATATTAGGTATATTAAGATAAGATGATCGACTTCTACTTTTTTTTCAATTTGACGGCTAACGTTCCAACTAGTTTGATATTTTGTCCAATGCCTACAGTTTTGGACAAAAATAGTATAGATAAATTCTCCTTAATGCTCAGGCCACACAGAGGCGGCCGCGGAAGCGTTCCGGGCGCGGGAATTTTGTAAGTACGAGTTCATATGAACTCGGCCGGGCTTTCAGTATGGCAGGGTTCTATATGAACTCGTACATTACAATAATTCCCGCACCCGGAACGCTTCCTCGACTGCCTCTGTGTGGCTAGAGCATAACAGTAGATAAATAAATATTTATATAGGAAGGTTTCACAGAAAATGAATTTAAGAAGAATCACAGCTATCAAAAATATTTAATCTAATTATGCCAAGTGTTGATAAAAACAGTTTGTCACGACATCGTACATCTATAATATTAAACATAATTGATAGATAAATAGGAATGATTCCAAAACACAAGTTCATACTTACCAAGATGAGTTAAGCTAAGAAAGCTCAAGGGAAGAAAAATTCTATTAAAATGGGCATATTCTTCGTACAAAATATATAAACTTCACTAACTGAGGTCGTGAGATCGTGGATTTTAACATCCTTGAGTTATCTCCATGTTAGGCAATTGATGGCGAAATCATATTAATACAGAAAAATTACCACATACATTAAATTACCACACGCAAAATAGGCGCCTTGACGTCGAGTTGCGGACACCAGCCCATTACACCAAGTACCAAGTAATACAGAAAAATGAATATGATTTTGAATGTAAATATTGTCAATATTTTTCTAAAAAAACGATAAGAGAGAAAAGAGAATTTGTAATAACACTCTAGCAGATGATTCTTCAAATAACACAATCTGACGAAGAATCAAATATTAAAGATACAAAAAATGCTATCACTTTCTCTTATTAATTAAAGTGGTGACGAACAAAAAAACAACTCTGCGCGTATTTATTTCTCAATTTAGATTATTTAATTATCTATCCCTGTGACAAAAGTTTGATCACATACAGTCATGATAAAATAATGCGATCGGTATCATTTAAATTTAAATAACAATGTCGCGTAGAGAAAGCCTAATCTATCACACAATGCGTGTCTGCCTTTTCGCATACAACTAACGGTTACCAGTTACAATAAACGGTTTACCAGTGGAACGTGATAGAAATTTATCTCCACTGTAACTGGATAAAAAATTCAAATATTGAATCTACAGGGTCATTGCACGAAGTTAATGGCACTACGGCCCGAGACGCCTTAATAAGAACAGTCAATCAATGAGCTCTAAACAAACGAGATAAAATTTATAACCAGTGTATAAAATAATGCTAGGTTCATTGTGTATTTATGCACCCCATTCGCTTGATTGAATGTTTGAGTTTGGGCATCGATGTAAAGAGAAAAAATTAATTCTTTAAAATCCTGCGCCTAGGCGAGCATCGAATTCTTTATTGTCAGGGTTCTTTAGATGATTTGATACTGACCTTCTCTTTGGGCTGTAGCATACGTGATCAACTGACATTGTCATTAGTTTGGCTTGGTTCAGAGCAGATACAAAATATATTCACGGCTTTCGGTACGCAATAAGCTCAATTTTTACACATAATATACACTCGCTCATAACATGACTCAATAAACTAAAATGGAATAACTAAATGTAAACTAAATTCAAAATATCACTTTAGTTCATCATAACTCGGTGTGCTCCTCGTGAGTTTTACCTGAAATGAAATACAATATATGTAAACACGCGTATGACACATTAGGATTTCTTAAAATTTTATACCGAAAGTAATTGCCGTAATAATATCTGTAGATGAGAGGTAAAGGACCTCAGGTCCATATATTGGAATTGAGATGTTTTTACAAACATTGCTGAATATTTTTTAGCCCAGAGATGTATCACCGACCAGGGATATATATATGTCACCATGACAATTAATTGCAATTGAATGTTAAAAATCACGTAATGGTAAAAGACATTAAGTGCTATTGTCGTTTGTTTTTTATTTAACATTATATTTTATTTGGCCCTAAGATTGATTTAAAATGCCTAATTAAGAGCTTCATTAAAACGCTCTTTAGAAAACAATACTATTTGGTACTTAAGGCGAGTCACCGGAGGAGAAGCCGAAAAAACTGTTTTGCTAGATCAAATTGTTCAGGTATTTATTGTTTAATAACGGTCTTACAAAAAATATACGATACTACTAGAGAAAATATCTAACTTTGCACATAATTTTTACATGGAGATATTTCTCTTTAAGTACCATTTATCATGGTTCAAATTTAGAGAACCTTCTAAATTTTGGTTTTCAACTGAAATGCTATAGTTTATTAAATTCACATTTATACCAAAATTGGAATATTGTGTAACGACACGCCGCACCGCCCGCTGCCCCGTCAGTAGCCATCGGGCGCTTATCAACGTCTGATCTGTGTCAAATTTTCTCCGCCTGTTCTTATATTATTCATACATCGAGTATATAATCAGAAATAGAGACGAAATAAGGGCCATCCATCTCTGGCAACTCATCAGGTAAATGGGCCGTATATTACTTTTAAATATTAAATCTCGTTTGCGCTGAAATCATAAATTATAAAACTCAAATAGTACAGCGCCAAAAACTGAACTGTGTGTACGTCTCCGTAAATTCGAAAAATATTCTGTATTTATTGTAATAAAGATCTCTAACAATAGGGGCTGTTTCATTTGGTGGTGTGGGAAAAACAGCAAAACATCTAATTAGAAACTAAACGGAATCACATTTCTTCGGCAATTAAATATTAAATATTAGGGGTTAAAGTATGAAATTGCCGTTTTATTGCAATAGGTTCTTTGAATTTTCATAGAATCTTCATGGTTTGAGGTTTTCGAATGAAACTTTTTTCAAATGGTTTCTGTGATTTTTTTTTTTTTTTAATTTGAAACATTTGAATATCGACTTTCAATTGTTTTTGTTATTCAATTTAGACAAGAAAGATGGATACTGCGAAAATTCGAGTGATTTTTGAATACGAGTTCCGACGCGGAACTAACGCGACAGAAACAGCCCGCAATATCAATGCTGCGTTTGGAGAGGGGTCTACTAATGAACGCACCGTGCGATTTTGGTTTAAACGCTTTCGTGATGGAAATTTCGACTTAAAGAACGAGTCACGAGGAAGACCGCCCGAAGAACGCGAAGGGCGGCGCCACACACTTCACCTCCTTAAATCTTGGCTCGCGTTCAAATACCTCGCCTGTAGGTTGTTTACCTCTCACCTAACAGTTATGTATTAAAATTAATTTAGAAGCATACTTGTGACGTGACTGTCGTCTGTTGGCGTCTCTGACTGTGGACTCTCGATTTCCTATAAAAAAAAATAAACAAGTATAAATTGATATATTAAAAATATCTTTCTATCTGCACATCAAAAATGCCCAATTTTAGCCAAACATTCGAGTGCACAAAATCGTCTTTTTATTGGCTGTGCCCTTTTGGATTTCGCCAGTACAAATTATTTCGCTTCGTAGTTTTAGAGGTGAAAAGATTGTAAACCGCATATAGGGAGCAATAATAATAGATTACTCGGTTCACATGAATTTATCGTATAAATAAAGGTGAAAAAAGGAAGAAAGGCCCGAACGGGCCGTATTTTTTACAAATATTATTTAAGTTACTTGATTTTACAGATAAAAGGATCAAAATTAGTGGTGAAGACGAGCAGGAGTGCTCGCTTCAGACATTAAGTAGAGTGGCGGCCGAACGAAACAAAGTGGGAATGACGAGGCAAAGAAATTAAAATTTTCAATACGATTCAAAATTTGAAAATAAGTGGCCAGGAACCACAGAAATGATAAAAAGGTGGGATGACGATGGAGGAAGTCGCATTGTCATAGAGGCTTCTGCAGGTTCTGCTATTCAACGAGTATTGTTGAACAATGTGAGAAAGTACACGCTTTCGTATTAGATTTTGAATTTTGATGTCGCAGAACTTCTCTATATACTTAACTTATAATGACGAAACAGATCACTTGAGATTTGGCATTTCGCAATATTTTGATCTTGACCTTTTTGACGTTGTCTCTACGTACTAATGATTGAAATATACGAGTTACAACCTCTACTACCATTGCTGCTATTGATAATTATAAAAAAAGTTATAAATGTGCTTTGTAGGGTACCTGTTCATGATCTGAAGACTGGTAAAGACCACGTCGAACACGTGCTTGTAACGCCTTGATTTCATCGTCGTACTCCTTCCACTCAGGCACTATACGCATCGCCGCAGATAGTTTTGCTTCTTTTGTCATTGGGTTGTTGCACTGTGAAAAAAAAAGACAAAGATATAGTCATCTCGCCTTCCTTATCTTTTACATTTAAAACACATTGTCTGACATAGATTTCTGAGGATTGGATGACTTTAGCCCATAAAATGGATTCAATATCTTGTCAAGATCTTCATTTAGCAGAAAAGTAACTTGGGTTGTCGAAAAGTTTTTAAGCTTCGTAGTCGTAAGTATTTTCCGTATACCTCACTTTGTATCAGACCTAATTATATATTTGTAAGTTTTTACATCACTGAATGCTGATTTTTTTACTTTAACATCAGCATATGCTGATTTTTTTACTTCAACATCAGCATATGCTGATAAGGATTCTGATTTTATATATTTAAAAATCGTGAAATCTACATGAAAAAGCAAGAAATGATTTTGTGACATTTATAATAAAAAAACCAACTTGTATAAAATCAATCAGCCTGCCTAGGCTAATTATACTGGGCTTTTCTCAAAGGTAAGAATAACGGGTTTTTGGGTTTGCGTTCGTTTCTCGATGGTTTGTAAATTATAGTCACGACGCGAATATCCGCAATGAATATCAGCATCAATCAACGCGGAGGTTGACGTGGATGCAGATGTTACTATTCGCAACAACCCTGAACACAAAAGTTTCAAAAGAAATAGAGTAAAATTAAAAATTGATATAACTTTTACACTCACCAAATCTATAGTCTTAGCGTATTTTTTAGAGTCATTATCGCACCAAGTTTCACACCACAACCATTCCTGCGGCAGTGACTTTATGGCTACTTGATGGATCATGTTGTTTGGTAGATCCTGATCTGTAACAATTAAAAAGAAATTAAATACATGTTTATAAAAAAATAAAAATTAATCTAATCGTTTTCAAAGGTAAAAACTAGTTTGTGAAATGTATTCCGACGCATCAGATAACAGTCAATTTATACGACACGTTTGTAGCTAATGTGACACAGAGCAGAAGAATAAACGTGTTAATTCACTTACCTAAGTTAGATAAACTGTTAGGGTCCTGACTAAGAGCTTGGTACTGTCCTCTCAACCGATCACCGGCAGCGATGCGTCTGAATCGCTTCAAGTCCACTACGTATAAAGCACTGATATGATAGCTCCGTCCTTGGAGGTGGTTGCGCCAGTAACCTTGTTTCCAGAACCTATTCAATAAAAAAATAAAAAAGTTATACTAGCTAAAGTTTACATCCATGCTGTGCCCATCATATTCATCTGTAGAAAGGCATATTGTAACGGTCCAACATTATTTCAGTACAACTTTATTAAAAGAATATTTAACAATTAGCGAAAATAAAATTTGTGTGCGGCCAGCACATTTCTTATGGGGAATGAACGTTTTATCACTTCCTATGGATATGTGGAATGGATTTCCGAAAACTCGCTAGGTTAAATACGATTAAGTTTAACTGTAAGAATAATAAGAAAAATAATTTCTAAGGATACGTGGATTCTCTCATCTCCATGTGTAGGTTATCTTACCTAAATCCTTCCATCTCCTTCCTGCTGTCACAGAAAGGCGTATAACCATACGGCGCGCCTCCAAGATCTAAATTAACCAATTCCTTTAGATCCGCTCGGACAATCTGGAAAATAATTACGCTTGAGAGCAATTTTACAAAAATATGGGTACCCTATTTCATTGCCAATATATACAAACATGCTAACTGACGCGTCAACAGTACCTTTACCATGAGTATATAGTCACATTCCTCGCTTGCGACCGCGTAAAAAAATTATATGTCAATGATTTTTGACCTACTTATACATGGATGTCGGGTTCGCGCTAAAAAGTGTCCGCACCTATAGGGCGTTAATAATCGCATACAGAGCGTCAATCGCGCAGCTGTCTTCGTTTATTCGACTGACAGCGCGGTTGTCAATTATGCAGTACCATATAATAATAATTTGTAAAAATTACTGCAGTAAAGTGTAAAAACAGGACTTTGTATCATATTTTCACTAAACAAATATAAAATATTGTGTTATCATAGTTCTCATTTAAAAGTGTTATTTTGTACAGTTTTATAGTATTTTTAATTTATATATAAATGAATCGTAAATATAAATTACAAAAGCACACAAAATAATCAAATAGCAAACTGTCCTTTTTCTACACATTGTATGCGCAAAAGATGGAAAGAGATCCATTACGTCAATTTCAAGAACTTATATAAACTTCTTGGTCATTTTCAATTGTTCGAACCACTAGCGATTGAAATATTTAGATTTAGAACAAACAAACTATAGAGTCGCTGTGATTTTAATCATAATTTTAAAATGATTTTTTTATTAAACGTTAGCAATAACTAACAAAATATTGTAGTATTCGTTTTACGGTTTGGGATTACCTACCAGAAGTCAGAAAATACATTTGCCTGAAATAAAGTTAGCTCGAATTTTTATAATGTCAAATGTATTTTTTAGGAAGATTACAAAACAAAAGCTAATTTTGTCTTTGTGAAAAGCAACAAAATTACTCGAAAGCGTAACGGTTTTTTTTAATTGGTTTTCCGAATTACGGATATTTGAATTTACGTTTCGTTGGAATGTAAATAATAAATTTCTTGTAGTACACGCTTATTTTCACATTTATTGTAATATTTGTATGTATGTATCTGCCCAAGTCTTTATTATTTCTTTAAGTGAATTTACAAAATTCGATATAACAATATACATAAAAAATAATTAATATTTACAATAAAGGGTACTCCATTACTCTTGTGTTCAAGTAATTTTCAGTCGAAGCTAAATATGGTGCATTTTGTTAAGTTTCCAGTAGAAGCTAAATATGGTGTTTTTGGGCCCTTAAATTGTTGCAAAATTAGGCAGTACTGCAATGACGTTACAATTTGAATGAAATGTTTTAATTTTTTTTATATTTCGTTACAAGTCACTACGTTTGTATAGGTTATTATTAAGGTCGGACATTTTTTTTCGTGGTTTTTATATTAGACCCGACGTCCATTTATGGGTAGGTCATTGTGTAAAATGTTACTTTCGCGTGATGTATTGGAATGTTAATGTCAAATACTTCCTACTACAATGTTACTTACACGCGATCACTAGCGACATTTGTCACAGTAAGCTCATGGTAGAGGTACTGTTCTGCTTTTGTGAAACAGAATCAATACATAATACAATCAACGACTGGTTTGTTTTCAACCAACACGTTTTTTTCAACTGTCTATATTACTTATTACTATGCTCTCTATGTGGACTTACCTGATCAGCGTCAACAAATATAATTTTCTTAACATAGAGCGGGAACAGCACATCTAGGAAGAGGATCTTATACCCCCAGATTGTGCGCTGTCGGTCGCGCTGGCGTTGCAACCAACGAGGCCATTGGTATTGGACGAGTTCGTATTGAAAGCCATATTCTTGAGCCATGTAGGGAAGGATATCCTGAAAATGAAAGTAAACCACAAATAAATCATGAACAATAATCCTATACATAATATTAATTTTATTGCATATCACGACATTTTACTGCCATGATATGCATTTATTTTTTGTGAAATTACTACTTTTTTACATTTAATAATAATAATTATAATTATTAGTTTTTCACAATTATTAATCCAAAATCGTACGCAAAGAAAAATTAATTCGATCCACTTGGACTTTTATAGATTTCTCACAGATGGCGCTACGACAAAATAATCGTTAAAAACCAAAAACAGACATGTACAACAAGCACACAAAAAATCGTAAGGTCTGCTGGTGCTACGGAACGACCATAGCCAATAAATAATCACAAGTACACGTTGTCAAAAAGTTATGCACTCGCTATTAGTAAAATTTCATGATTTTAGACGTGAAAAACGTGGACGGAATGTCACGAGGAATTCAAATAAAGTAACGGAAGTGATCGATCGATGTAAACAATTCACGTGGAAACAACGATCGTGGGTATCGAAATATCCTACCGTCTTTTTGGGCTATGTATGTGAGCAGTCAGATATCATTGTTAAGTTGCCTAGTATAACACGTTTGTAATTCAATACCACATACCTTAAGCGACGGGCTAAGGTAGTTCTTCAAAAACCAAAACTTAACAGGCGATTTGGTATGTTTAAGTACAGACAACATCATGATACGTAAGAACCTCTCGTACAAATGGCCCGAAGCTACAGAAAACACGTTGATTGTCTCATCTTCAGCTTCTTGCTCGTCGCCGCCGCCGAACGAGCTGGCAAGAAAACTTAGAAATCAAAAGATATTCTGTAATTAACATGAAGTTATAAATTTAGACATAGGCGGGCATGATGGCATATCGACTATGACTGGCAACCGGTACCATCTAAATTTTGACGACTTTACATTGACTTTACAGGTGAAGAAAAAAATTGTTTGCGTCATTTATATACCATCTGGTTTATTAAATAAAAATACGTAGTGTATGTGTAAAAAAAATATTTAAAAACTACGTATTTTTATTTAATAAATCAGATGCTATATAAATGTACCGGTTGCCAGTCCACGGTCGGTATATTAATTATTATATAATAATACACAATAAATGTGACGGTTCACAACGATAAATCATTATGAAATTCGGAAAGTAACATTTTAAGGAAATCGACAAAATTGATACGTAATATTATGTCATTTTTTAAACAAATATTATTTTACATATTCATGTTATAAGAAAGTTATTTTTTTTATAACTGCGAATTTTGTCGCTTTACTGTTGAAGGTGGGATATAACTCGACGAGCGAGACAAGAGAAAAAACCATTAAGCTTACCTTGCAATAGAGTTCCAAATGCCACCAGAGCTCTTATCATCGTTCTCAACTAACAAATCCAAATGTTGTTTGTCTGGTTTTTTGCTGACTCGCAACTTAATCACGTGACTACGGAACGAACTCATTAGTACCTGAATATCTTCACTGCCGGCTGGTGTGTCTGTGTTTTCGTGGCTACAAGAAATGATTTCTCATTAGTCACATCACATCATAATATGGATGCAACGTATAAAGCATTTTCCAAAAAAAAACATAAAATAGGTTTTCAATAAAGGGAATGTAAAGCGATATAATTTTATTTTATTCCAGTGTTTTCTATCGCTCCAATGAATAAGTAAGTCATAAAAAAACTATGTGTTACGATTTTTTATTCCATTGATGAATACACCTCACAAAACAAACCAATTTAATTTCCCGTGTAAATCAAGAAATGTAAAAAAATGGAAATAAGAACAGGGAAATTTGTGCATGTGCTGTGAATTGTGGATTACAAAAAAATGTTTTATTAGTTGGTTTATTACATACCTGAGGCTAAACACAATGTACAAGTAAATGTTTACTAAAGAATTCGTAATACAATATTTTAATACAATATTAGAATGTACTATACATTCCAAAGTTATTATAATAATAATAACGCACACACTCATCACAGACGCGCATTAGGGAAACCCTGTGTCGCGGGTGCCATGGACACATACATAGACAACCACAAATTACACCCAAACTCACGAGAGAAATAAATGTAGGCCATACAAATATTTCTCTCAGCCCGGGAATCGAACCTGAGACCCCTGAGTGGCAGTCCCGCATGGTAACCTTTCGGCTACGGGGGCAGTTCCTATTACGTGGGGCGCACTATAAGTTTCCGGAATAAATAAGAAAAAAATACTATAAATGGTCAGAAATGAATTTGTTGTTTCTCAAAATATTCTCCGTTAGCGTTAATGCACTTTGTCATACGAATGAACCAATTTTGAAAACATTTCTGCCACTCCGCCATGACAATCTCAGCAACATAATTTTCACACTCTTAGACAGCCTCTTCAGGTGATGAAAATCGTTGACCGCGTAACTGGTTCTGAATTTTTGGAAATAAATTAAAGTCACAAGGTGCCAGGTCGGGACTGTAGGCGGGGTGGCTCATAAGGTCAACTTTGTTCACCTTCAAAAATTCATTTGTCTGTCTGGCCGTGTGAGAACTGACATTATCGTAGTGCAAGATGATACGGCGTTTACGGTTATTTTTACGGAGTTTGTCAATAACTTCCTATTGGTCGTGTACCAATCACTATTCACGGTACAACGATTCTCCAAAGCAACAGTAGCCACGTGTCGTAGTTTTATTAAAAAAAGAAGCAATCATTCTGATAGATGCACTTTGCACGCGCGCCACTTTGATTGGTTTCGGCTCATTTCGTTTCATTCGTTCATCTCGAAAGACCCATATGCTCCATTGTTGTTTTGTTTTGGGATCGTAACTATAAATCCATGTTTCGTCACCCGTTACTAAGTCCCACACCAAATTTGACGCCCCTTCGTTGAATCTGGTAAGCATGGCATTGCACCAAGTGACGCGATCCGTTTTTTGAGCCTCAGTCAAATTGTGTGGGATCCACCGAGAGCACAGCTTTTTCACACCCAAATATTTGTGTAGTATTGATTATATTTGACTCATGCCTATGCCTAAAGATGCCCGAATCTCATAGTATGTCACATGCCTGTCTGTTTTGATTATACGGCGGCGGCGCACAGCATCGATGTTTTTGTTGTTCACGGCAGTGGATGGTCGCCCCATCACGAAATTCGTCACGGAGATACACACGACCGCGTTTGAATTTTGCAAACCAGCTATATATAGTTGTCTTGCATGGTGCTTCATCGCCAAAAGCAGTTTGGAGCCGAGCGAAGCTCCGCTGAGCTGTTAAATTACACTTAAAGTCGTAGAAAATCATACTACGAAAATTTTCACGAGTAAAATCCATGGTGATGTAGACAATCAATATCTAAAATGAGGCCACAATGTAAAAACAAGTGACAATCAGATGAAACAAACTGTATTCTACAGCCAAAGAGTTCCATTTTGAAATGTTGTAATTACTTTTTAAATATGGTTTATGTAAGTGGCCAGTTCCGGAAACTTATAGTGCGCCCTATGTACTAGTTACTTTGCCATATACCTACTGTCATTCTCCTGACTAACAGTTGTAATTGACATTTTTTTAATGTATTTTCGGTTTCCCACTTTCCTCATGAGCTGGTACCTCATGTCGTTCGATCAATTAGTTATATTCACATATATAAAAAGGAAGACATACGACTGGTGTCGCGATTTAGTATAAGTTTTGTAATATCAAGCATTAATAAATTTAGTCTGTTATGATACCTAAGAGTAGGGAACTAACACGGCAGTACAGGCATCTCAAATGAAGGTGAGATCAGGCATCTGCTTGGAGTGCACTGGTTGGTCGGCACTACAGTTGGTAAGTTTACGTAATGTTTGTTACTAACGTAGATACAGTATTTGTTGACTAGACAGCCTGAAGATAGAGTATGATGAATCAGTAACAGAATTATAATGAGGCCGCCACTTGTACTAAAGGTATAAGGGGGCATGAAGCAGTGGCAGAGGAATCATAGGGATCAGAGGATCCCACTAGTTCAGATCCGGAGGATCGATATGAGGTCAAGGACCTGTTAGGACCATTATAGTAGTCCTATGAAGTAGAATGGAGTTAGTAAAAGTGTACATGAAGAAAGATACTCTATTTAAAGGTTGTTGTGATAGAAAGAATGTCGCATGTGTAATTTACATTATGTTTGAACCTTAGGCGTGGCGACAACTGGTGCGGAATGTTCGCTTTTGAAAGTTAGGAACGATCGTAAGTCTTAAGCAAACAATTTTCGAATATGGCGGTTATTGAGGATATCGCACTGCTATTAACTCAAAATATGTGAAATTCGAGATTATACTAATGCTGAACGTAAAATTTTATTTTCTACACGTCAATAAAAGCGTCATTAAAACATTGTAAGAAACAATTGAAAGATATCTACTTAACTCAAAATGAGTCAAAACTTTAGTAAGTCTTTACGACAATATCGGTATATTTGGCGAGTAGAAAATTGTTTAGACGTCTGTAATAAACTTTAACCCTGTAGATTTCAATATAAATTATTTAAATTTAAATAATCTTTCACAGAAAGTGAGTAACTCGTTTTTCATCGATTCTGAAAAAATACACATTTTGAGTTAGTTACACTATTTTATTAACAGTGCGATATGTCCCCTAGTCTTTACTATTACATCGTCATCGTCAACCATTATGCGTCCCACCGCTGAGCAGAAGTCTCCTCTCCTCCACTCGCCCCATTGCGGGATGAGGACTTCACACGTTTTCCAAAGGTTGTGACCTTTTTTCCATGTACAGGATTCACCACGTTTTTTTCAACCGTTAGCGAGAGGTATTGCTGTTAAACTCTCACAAGTGTACGTAACTTAGAAAGTCACGTGTATATGTCGCTACAGGGACTCGAACCGCCGACCAGAAGAAGAGTTTTGAAGCAAACGTTTTTCCATTAGACGACCGTTACTATTGTACTCACATTCAATTAGTGTTTACACTATACGTAGTAATTAGTGTTTATATAATTAAAAAAAAACTTACTCGATAATTTCATAAATCTCATCCGATCTTCCAGGCCTTAACCTCAATATCCATGCCCCGGGATTTGCTTTCAGCTGGAAGTAACCCAGGTTAGCCATAACAATAGTGTCCATTATGTCAGGATTCTCTCGTGTGCCCAAGATTAATTGTAGACCTCTTGGGGGTGTCGCTAACGTTGTGTCCCAAGCATGACCTTCTAAGAGAAGGTACTCTAGTTCGAATTCACTGAAAAACAATAAATATTCAGCATAGAATTAGACACTGTATGAACTACAGATTCGATAGAGACGTTACCCTAAATTTAAAATCAAGGGAAATATCTTCTTAACTTTAAAAACTCACCTATGAACCACAGTGTCGACATCAGCAAGTCTAATATTGTCAAGATCGTAGACAGACTTGACGCATTCGACCAGCCAGTTGGGGGGAGTACGTAGTTCCATTGAGAGTAAAGGAGCGTGAGGCAAGTGTGAGAATCTCGCAAGAGCACCGCCAGTTAATGCACCTTCGGACGTAAATTGGAGTTCTGGTTCGAGAACATAGCGGTAGAAACTAAAACAATATCAATTATATATTTTCAACTCGGCTTAACAATAACTTCAAATGATCAAGTACTTGGGACCACAGAATATTTCAAATATAAGTGTAGGCAACTAAACATATTTTAACTTGGTATGTTCAAAACGGGAGTAAACACTATTCTCCGACCGTATCGCGGGGTTCGAGCGCTAATTATCAGTGAGCAAGACCAAAGGAAATGTACTTACAATTTATTTAAACCAACAATGTATAGTTACGAACGAAGCAGAGCAAACAATGACAATAACAAGGAAAAAGGCGCCAAAAACAAGTACGTTTATATTTAGAACTTTAATCTAAAACTTTGCTAAAAAGACAACAAAAATATATGTACAAAACGATTTGTAGCGACTCCTGCGATTCGCTACTGAGATTAAACAATTTAATACGTATTTGGAGACCTACGTATTATCCCGACGTTTCGGCCAGGTTGCACAGGCCGTGGTCACTAGCAGACTGTTTATTCCTGTTTTTAAATGTTAGTATAACATAACACGAAAGTTTAGGAGTGGATATCCATTATGATTTGTCCATATAGGAGTGTATATCCATTATGTTCTGCCAAATTATAGAGTAAATCTAATAAATAATTAGGTAGAACATGTACGTGTCCAATAAATAATGTACCTTATTCACTAATTTTATCCATAATGAGTGCTACGATCGTTTTGGTTTCACGAAATACTATTAAATATAGCCAGTAAATAAAATATTCTGTATAAAATACACAGAATATTTTATGACTAGATATGTTCAAAAGACAAGCAGGTAACGCGGGTTTGTTTACCTCTTAAGTGGCATGTCAGAATTCTTGTCCTGCGGGTTCATAAAGAGCTTGATGCGGCAGTTGACCACGCGCCGAAGCACTAGAAGCAACGGAGCCAGTTTTTGCGCAGCATTTGACGCAGGGTCTAGTATTGCTACGATCTGGACAAAATATGAATGTTTAGAGTATTAAATTTTAATATTAATCGGACATGACGTAACTCTAATGTGCATTTTTTTTATTATCATGCGTGCCGACTCAAAACGAAACCATTAGCAAATAATATTTTGCTAATAATCTTCTAAATCAGTGAGATTCTGACAACGATACCAACACTGCCGTCCGAACGTAGCCGTCTTCCGTGTCGTTAAGGCATGAATATACGACGCCTTTGGTGCCCATTACACATACTAATTATTTTTTTATTTCAACTGAAGTAAATAGAACACGTAAACTATACTATATACATTTTTCAAATAGCTTAAAAAACTAATTCCGAAATAAAGCCAGTGTCCCTGCCGCTCGATCTAAGCAAAATGAACCGTATTAGTATGGGAAAAGTTTGAATTCGAACTGAGGTAGTATCGAGTCTTAAGATGACCTAAATCTTATTAATAAAATTATGAAACCTCAACAGCTGCTTCATTCTTGATCAACGGCGCTAACTCAACAAGAGAATGTTCCGTACGAAGTCCTGTGGGCAACGGTGTGCGAGGCTTGGGGCTGCGGGATGCGAGCACCGATATTACTTTGAGACGATCCTCGTTTGTGAGTTCAACTATTTCGTACTCTGTGAAAAGTAGTAACGGTTAAAAAGGAACTATTTATTATGTATGTACTAAGCCTCTAAGGCAGAGGTCCCCAAACCAATATTTTCCCCTTAATACTGAATTTTACAAATTCATCAACTTAGAAAGTGTTATGACAGCTGACATAGTGTCAATTTGATTGGTTTAACTAAAGAATGAAAATCTCTTGTTAACAGTCATCAGTACCGCATCCATATCGTCATGCGTACTTTCGAAATCCCGTATAAAAACACATTAAGTACAGTTGCGGTGCTTGATACTGAACCGTAACGAATATGTCACGTCCGGACCATCAATAACACAGAATCCTCAAACAGACGCCAAACATTTCAATAACAGTGGAGTTGGCAGTCATTGCGCAATTTTGTAACATTAAGGCGCGTTTCCATCATGTCGTGACGACAGGTTGTGCAGTTAAAAATGTTGTGGCTTGTATATTTAAATGAAATTGTTCACATACACGTACACAACACGATTAACTGTCATTCACGACATTTTTGATGTTACAACGGCAGACTGTCAAGACAATGGGAAGAGCTAGGACAGAACGACAGTCGTCAGACGATAAATAAAACTTCACGATAAAAACGTGACGACAGATAATCGCAGCCAGTATTGTCGTTTTATTTCTCGTTGTATGCACGTGTTCTGCTCCCTGTTCTCCCCTCTCGTCCTTCGCGCCCTCGGCTGTGCATCAAACGATTCTGTTGAGGAAACGACAAGGCGTCTGCCGTGAACCGATAAATTGTAGTCACGATCCAGTGGGAACAGCTGGACATGACAGTCGTTCAACGATAAAAAACGTCCACGACACGGTCACGACAGACAGTCGTGATACGGGAACAAGCTAAAAGCGAAACTGTCGCTTTTAATTTGCTTACGGAATAAATATAATTATATTTGAATTTGGTTTAAACTTACCGTCATCATCATCCTCGACAACTTCGTTTTTGGTAACTTTCTTTTTGTCAAGCACTTCAGAAAGTTTATCAGCATATAACTGATTAGTAAATCTGAAAATAAAACAACACGAATAATATAATTATTAATACAAAGATCGAACACAACGAAAAATTCCTTCAATTTGACTGAACTTGATCCTGCATCTGTATGCCAAACTCCAACGGGACTACAGGTTGAGTCAGTAAATGAATTTCTCTGTGTTTGTTATAGATCTTTTGTAGTGGGGTTCTATGGACTTTTATCGCCCTAAGCGAGTAAGAGAGAATTATTCTTAGTCAAACTAGTGAAGTAATTTCACAAAAAATAAATTAATACCATGGTAATCAAACATCATGATTATAATAAAATCAACGCGAATAATAATTTATCGACTTTGGTAAACCAAGAGTATATACTGCGGGCGCTGGTTGAGGAGGTCCCGGGTTCGATTCCCGGTAGCACCAGTTTGGGAAACGACATTTTGGTGAAATTATAGGCACATGTCTACTTATGCCTCAGGGCGCAGTGGCAATACTCCTCAGATCTTTGCGATCTATAAGCTCCGACGAGCACTGCAACTGTTACGGACAGGCGTGTCGCTTCCCACCGTACACACGAATTGTTCGTCCCGTCTCTTGGTATCATAATATAATATTAATAATATACTATAAATGAACTTTTCAAAAATTCTTTTCGTTGCTTTTTTACTTATAATACAAAGGGTTCTCTAGTTTGAGACCATGTCATTCATTGACGTTTGATTATTTATAAATGATAAAAAATCGAACTTTAAGGAGTTATTCACTTTCATATTAAACTTACCTCTCCAATAATAAGAAATCATCAAGAGTAAACTTCTCATCGTCTAGGAAAGGTCCAATCATTCGCGTGTTATGCACCACAGCGCGCGCGCCAGGCCTCAGTTTAAAGCTACGCGCACATAACACTCTTGATGCTTTGAGCACCCAGTCGTACTTGTTTAGAGCGGGGACTAATTCAGGCTAAAACAAAAAAGAACTTGAACCAAAAGAAGTAACGCGTTTTAGCGAGTGCACAAATTCAAAATTACTTTTTCTTTTACCAGTACATAGTAACGCTAAAGAAATATAATATTATTATAATAACAAAATATTATAACATGGGAGTGCCGCACGGCAGGACTAATTTGCTCAACAAGACTTCTCGCACCATACACACAAAATCGAGGAGCTGAAGTAGGTAGTTGATATTCTTACTTGTTTTCAGAGCGAATTCGTAAAGGCTGGACTCTCTGTAGAATTATTATTGTCCGTAATTGTTATTATTATTAAATAGAATACCCATTTATTAATTATTATAACTCAGTATTATAAATCATTATTATTATTTATTATAAGTCAATGGAAATGCTACACTATTGTACTGGAATCATCCTGTAAAATAGCTTGTATGTACGAAATAAATAAACATTACTTACCAATATGTCGCAATCCTGTCTTTCATGGCACCCTTCGTCTTCCAACAATTGGGCCACATATTTAGTAGCGGGTCCTGATTCCAAGGCAGTTAATGCTGCTAAAACTACTTTGTTTAGCGATTGGTCCGCATTTGATGACCCGTCGACATTGGGTATGAAAGCTACTCGAGTGCCACCAGATTCTCTCTAAAAATATTTGTTTTAATATTTATTACAATTTCTAAGCTTGAATATTTCATCACACTTGCAAGAAACTTAAAAAAGGTTAATTAGACTTAAAAACGTTATATAGTTCATTAATAAAATCATTTATATAACAATTTTTTGAGATGCCTAAAATTTAACAATTTTTAGAGATGCCTAAAATGACCAAATTTTAGGCATCTCAAAAAATTGTTATATAAAGAACAATACATTTTATAGAGCATTACTAGAACTTTTAGCTTTGACTTTACGTATGAATGAAACAAAAATCTTTTAAATCTGTGCACGCCATCGTCAGTGTTGTACCTCATAAAAATGATAAATAAAATAAAGCAGACTATATTTACCTTAGTTTTGTTTGTGTTTTGTTGTTGCTATAAATAAAATAAAAAGTAAGCGAGGCGGCGAGGCGGCGCGGCGGTGTGTCGGAGTCGCATGATAAAAATACCTCCTACATTTGTTGCACGTCATTCCACTACTTAGTTTGTGTGATGTAATGTAATGATAACCCTTTATAAACTTACCATAAACGTCAGAGCATCTCGCAACAAGTCTCTGGAAGCTTTATTATTAAGATCACCAGTGACCCAAATGGTCTGTAATATCTTTTCAGACTTGCCTGGCTTCGTGAAGTACTTTAGAACCGGTAATGCTGTCGCTAAAGCATCGCGACCTGAGAAGATGTACGAACAAATTTAATGGGATATAGATCTTTTTGCTCGGTAAAAGTTTGTTAAAAATTATAGTATGCTATCTTCTTATTTAATAGAGATAGGAAAGGATAAAGGGCAGGTACAATGTAAAAACTCGAGATTTACACTGTGCGCCTCGGAAGTCCCGGGTGCTATATCCGCTAGAACCAATTTGGAAATGAACTTTTCTCAATTGATTTTGGTCTGGTTCTAGGTAGTACCATGGTACAGAGAAATCCCTAGTTTGAGTACTGACGTCTGGCACATTATTATTATCTAGATTCTGAAGTTAACGAAAAGCTAGCAAAACAGGCCACACACAACCAGAGGACATAAAAACTGTCGGAGCCAGGAAAGTCCTTCAGTTGTTTAATGCTGACGGTCTTGGCTCTGAACTGCAATTAGAGGTGATTACAATAGATTGTGATTACAACAAACGTCTATAATTATTCGACTGCGCCTAGGACACATAACTTCACCAGTTTTTTTGGCCAAGATTAGGGTAAGAGACAATTCCATTTGTGAATGCGGACTGGAGGCACTTTAGATCATACATTTTTCCACTGTACAAACATAAGAGTCCACCTGTACGATCTGCTCCCTGAAAAGATGCCCAGTCCCATTAATCTACCATTTCTTTTGACCCAAGTTCATAGTCCTTTTGTAAATACCCTGCTCAAATTTATCCAAATCAACGATATTAAATTATAATTACCTTGTCTATTAAAAACTATTTTCTGTCAAGATTGTAGTTACAGTACAATATTATATATTTATAAGCCCATCCCTCTTTCTATTTTATTTTTTATATATGTTTGTGATGTGAATGTCTAATTTGTGTTTTTGTGTTGTCCTTTTTTAGATTCTCATCGTACTCAATTGATCTCCGGCTATCCAACCGTACACAGTCACACCAACGTAAAAGTGTCTTTTTCAACCTTGATATCGGCAGAATCATCGTGAAAATCGATGGAGCCATTATAAAGAAATTGGAATTGGAACAATAGATCAATTGATGGTCGCAATGATGAGGGGCTGCATAGGCCCCGAATGAAGCCAACCTAATTATAATAATTGCGAAAGTCTAAAATGGATAATAATAATAACAAAAAGCTATAAAATTCTTATAACCACCTTACCAGTCAAGTGCATAAGACGGTGAACCTTATCCTCGCTGAATAATTCGCTCGAGGCCGCAACGCCTCCCAAGTCTAAGTATTGAGAAGACTCGGCAGCGAGAACTCGACGATTCAATCTATTAAACGTAAAAATCGATTGCGAATTTATTTTATACTGGAGTGCCTCTAAGATCTTATCGATTTAAAACTCTGAGTGGTACTGCATCTGTTATGGACAGATATATCGCTTAAAATCAGGCACACGTCTTATTCGTTCCGTCACTTGATATTATTAAAAAAGGAGGACACTATGCTATACCTGTTTAATAGGTACAAAACTATTTTAAGATGTTTGTTATTTATATGAAATCTGGATCTCAAAACACGTAGCTCACATTATAATCCTTCATAGATAGCTGGAAACTTTATTATAACTCTCATTTTTCTTTAATATGCTCGACTGGATTTACACTTTTAAACCTACCTGGGTACAATATGAGGCTGTTTCATAAGATATTCTGTCGCGTCTTCTACGTCAGTAAGTTCACCACGGAAAACAGCGCGTTGAAACCGACCAGTATGTCGAGAGAGTGCAGTTACTAATGCCTCTTCTAGTAACTCCACAGATGATGTAGCCGGACTAGGACCTTCATCCCATAGAGGAACACCATTGATAAGCACCTGTAATTTGGTAGGTACATTACACATATAAAGCTACAAGTTCTTACTCACTGATAGAAATAGAACGCATACTTCCCGATATAGTGAAAAAAAATGATATTTAGACTGGTTTCACAGCTACGGACCGCACAGATTGTCCGCCTGCGGGCCGTCCGTATGCGTAGAATCCGCAGTGCTCTGAATCGAATATTTAATTTAGTGCGGATATTCACGGAAGACAGTCGCCTACAATGAACGTACGAGTGGGCACGCAGCACTCTGCGTCATTGTAAAACAACGCTACACTCCACTCCGGTGTACTGCACGGACGATCCGCAGATAAATCCGCACTGCTCTGGAACCAGCCTTATACCGTACACGTACAACGTGGATAAAGAGTCAAATATGAGATGATCTGAATGTGGAAAATATGAAATACTAATCAACGGCCTGCAAAAGCTATAATACATGGAGGGGATATTTGTGCACTTTTATAAGGTACGCGTTGGTCAATTTCCGCCGGATGTAAAAAATGATAGAAATTCAAATAAAGAAGACAGCCGCCATACAAATTTCAAGGTTTTTTCTTTTCAATTCTTCTATCACGGAAACTATTAGAAATTGGAAGGAGATGCTGGAAGGAATATCATAGTGAGTAACAGTGGCCAACTCTATCAAGAAAAATTCTAGACTGCGAATTCAAAATGGCGGCCGAAGAAAAACTTGCTTCGATCCGGCTGAAAATTGGAATACGGAGGCCTCTAGAAGTGCCTGATAAAAATTTGTTGTCAAAATAGGTGTTTCGCCATTTTCAAATTTGGCCGCCACACAAACGTTAATTGGCAGGAGAAACAGAAATTGCTTAGACAATCAGCATACGAGGGTCTCTAACAGTGCCTGATAAAAATTTGTGGTATGACGGAATATGGATAGGAAAGGAGATGAATTCAAATGTATAATATTAACAGACGAAAAAAAATTGTTTAATTCGACATTTCTTCTATTTATTGAAAATACTATTCGTTACTGCCGGTTGGTCGAGCTCCGGATATGGTGCATCTCGCAGCATAAGCACGCCCCGACCACTCGACCACACGCCGCAAGCCGAGACCGATCCCACCTACGGTGGGGTACAGGCTGGAGTTGCACCACGCCTGGACCATGGCTTCTTCCTCTGCAAGCTCATAGTCCAGGCGGGTGAGTGCCCATTTGGGAAAGCCCCCCCCGGGGCCGTGTTGGAGGCCGTCGTGGGCTGCGTATGGGAGACCCTCATCCGTATGTATTTATGATCGGAGAGGGTCTCCTCGTCCTCCCAGGACCTGCCAGCCGGATACTCGCGTTGCTAGTGAGGGGGTCGCAAACGTGACGTCCACGATTGACCCCCCATTTCGCCGAACGCACGTGTTGGCATGGCCCCGGTTGAGGATGGCTAGCCCTAAGACTGCCGCCCAATTCGCCCCCTGGCATTGCTGACCGGGGAACCCCACGCAGCGCTCTTGGCGTTGAGGTCCCCCATCACCAATACCGGCGCCGGAGCTGCCCTCCTCACCGCCCTCTCCAGGAACGCCTGAAAATGGGCCAGGGAACGATTTGGAGAGAAGTACACCCCAATTAGGATGACTTCTCCCCACCTCGCCGCCACGAACCCTGACCCGCGTTCCTTCACCACTAGAGGGGGGGGAGTTTCCGGCAGTCGACGCCACTATGGCCACCGTCTCCTCCCGATCCCCCTCCCAGTTTCCCCGTGGGGGAACAAAGTATGGCTCCGCCATAACCGCCACCGCAACCCCCCATGGCCTGCACCAATAGGTCTTGAGCCCTGGCGCAGTGGTTGAGGTTGCCCTGCAGTATTGTGTGGTGGCGTGCTGGCATCACTCGTTCATACTCTGTCCCTCAACAGGGGGGTCACCGCCGGCCCGCCCTTTGTGGGGGGAGGAGCGCAAGATCGCCCCCCCATTATAAATAATTGTAGAGAAACTCACAATGTCGCGTAATAATATTTATAAGCTTTTGTGATATCCTCTAATTGGCCTTATGCACTGCTCATGTAACATTATTTTTTAAGTTCTAAATGTATGCTGTTGGATGTCCTTTAATAAATAAATAAATTAGGTGGTCGGCTGGTCGGCGAGCCGCGGTACAGACGGAGCACCGAGGGGTCGCGTGCACACGGAGGCCGTGTGTCTGGTTTGGCCACACCTGAAACAGAGCCCGCTCCTGTCCTCACTGGAAGGGCAGAGGGCTCTGGTGTGGCCAATCCCCATGCACTTGTAGCAGCGCATGGGGAGGGGCTCCATCACGTGAACCCCGGCAGAGGACCACCCCACCAACAGGCGGCCGGTAGCCGCCACCAATTGGGCTGCCGCTACTGGGCAGCGAACGAGTGCTGACCCCCTCCCATTGGGGGCCAACCTGACAGCTCCTAACTAACTCACAAGGGACGGGGAGCATTGGCCCTTCGCGGCCACCACCGTCCGGATCTTCTCTGGGGTCACCGACTCGTCTAAGCCAGTGACCCTCAGATCGGCGGTTTTGGTAGGCCGCGTTACTGCCGCCAGCCCCCCGATCACCTTCTCCAGCTTGGCCGCCAGGATGTCGGCCTTCCCAGCGCTGGTCGCCCCGAGCACCTCGAATATGCGGGCACCTCGATTATGCGGGCACCTCGAAGCCGAGGTCCTGGCGGAGGTCCGCACTTACCGGCGGGGAATGAGGGACCGAGGCGAGCGACCCGCTCCCCAAGAGGTGGAGCTGGAGCGCCGCCTCGCGGCGCAGCGCATGCGGAACCGGTGGAAAGAGGGCTTGGCGGATCCCCCCTATGGTGCTCGTACCATAGAGGCGATCCGCCCTGTCCTCGCAGAGTGGGTAAACCGGTCCCACGGGCCACTGTCGTACCACCTTGTGAAGGTGCTGACCGGGCACGGTTGCTTTGGTCACTACCTGCACAAGGTGGCGAGGAGGGAACCGTCCCCGTCGTGCCACGAGTGCGGCGCTGCGGATGACACCGCGCAGCACACCCTAGAGGTGTGTAGCCGGTGGGATGAGCAGCGGCGCACTCTGACGGGGACTGTAGGGCAGGACCTCTCGCTGCCGAGCGTGGTTGCCGCGATGCTCGTTAGCGAGGAGTCCTGGGAGGCGGTGGCCTCCTTTTGCGCATAGGTTATGTCGCAAAAGGAGGCCGCGGAGCGGGTGCGCGAGGACGCGGCGGACGCACACCCGCTTCGGCGCAGACGTACGGGGAGAAGGCGAAGGCAGTTCGCTGCTCGCCTGATCCCCTAGTGAGACCAGCGGGCTCTGGACAGGGACTCCGGAGCCTGCATTGCACGGCCTCACTCGTCTGGGGGGCGGGTCAGAGGACAACCGACTCGCCCCACCGTTGGCGCGGGAGCCCTGGCGTAAACTAGGGCGGCCGGGCGGCGTCGTGGTGAATGTTCACTGATCCCACGGCGCCGACTCAACCGGCGAGAGGGAAACCCGGGGGGGGTTTTAGTGGGGTAGGCCCTCCAGCCTGGAGGGAGAGTCCCCACATAACCCCTGAGTCTCCCTGGGCTCAGGGGTATACATAAAGATTTCGCCCCCGTCAAAAAAAAAAAAAGGTCCCCCTTTACAGGCTCGTATATTATAGACATACATATCAGGGTTCGTGGTTTTTACAAAAATGTGACTACAGCCGATAAAGCGGTTCTTTTTGCAGATACAGCCAGTTCATTTTTAAAACTATCTTTTACAAGATTAGCCTAAAACATAGCTTAGTATATTAAGACCAAGTAGGGCAACTCCCGTATGTTTGGCGCATCAATGCCTACACTTCACTGGGAGCGTAGGGATGTCATATTATTTTAGTTGTACCTACAGGTTGTAAATATAATTTGTAAAAAAAATAAGGTACACGTCAGATATAAACTATGTCAAATGCAATATTTATATATTGACATAGGAAAAACTTTATGAAAGAAAAACATAATAATAATATAATGTGACTACTACAAACTAAGGAATTATAATTTATTAATTATAAGGAACAAAGCGACGGAATAAATCCGGGGCATTATCCAGACAACTCGGATGAGAACCAATTCACAAAAATTTCTTTAAGATCGTTTCGGGAGCTCCTCATACAACGCCGATTGTTCTAATCGTTCGGTCACCAAACCAACGCCGTGAAATAAATAAAAAATATGTAACTTACCTCTCATGTTAACGACAACGCAACATCAATTCATACAAATAACCATAAATACAACAACAAACATGTCTACTTGATATTACTTTTCAAACACCAAGCGACCGTTTCAATTCTATAATGAATGGCGCGTGTGACAACCTGCGCTATACAGCATATGTACACTGTAAGATTATGCGTATGTGTGCATCCGTACACGGCGCGCAGCGGGCGTGCACACATACAAGCCTTAGTGCTACGTTTGTATGGAGTTACCTTATTTGGTCTCATTCTACAATGTTAATAGTTATTTACCTGTGGAAATTTATCGCTTCCAATTTTGGAAATAAATTCCTGAGCTAACTGACCGCCGAAGTTGTACTCAGAATCCTCGGCCATAATCTCAACAGTATCAATGTGTGGCTTTGTATATTTCTTCAAATATTTCTTTACCAATTCAAGGTCTAATGTCTCATCTGGATTTGGGTTCAGCAGCTGTAAAATCGATTTAATGGCTTGTTATGGTCTGTTCGCGATAAAATCTATTAATTTGAAGTAAAAAGCGTAAATCCTAAAGCTAATTCTATATCGCAATTGAAATTGTCTTACTTAGGTAACGTACTTGTGGACTCGACAAAACAGAATGGTGTTAATTCGCGCATTTGTGCAGTTGCGCGTATTAACACCATTTCCATTTGGAAATTAAATTATTATTTATTCATTGAGCATTGGCTATAGAGCCATCAGCTTAAACAGGTAACAAATAATCAAGAAACTCAAAACGTTATAGTATTTAAACTAAAAATAAATTCGGGTAAATATAGTAACTACACAGTCCCGTCTTTTTTTTCGTCGTCATGGAAACTGAACTTAATTGTAGTAAGAGAAAAAACTGTGTGGTTGTCAAATTTTGATAGTTTGATAGAAATTTACTAGTGGTTCTACATTTAGTAGTAGGGCGTTTAGCCCTTAGCCTCGACTAATTTTACAGCTATAATCTACAATTTATTCTGATGTTTCTTTGATGAGAGAGAAGTCAAACTAAATTATGTTTATTGTTGAGAGTTTCAATGCGCCTAACTTATTGAAAAATTTACGAAAAGTTTTTTTACTAGAATCGGTACAGTATATTCAAAGGCAAGATTTAGGAATTCATAAAAAAGGCACGAACTCGCATACCTGGGAAAGGAAGTAAAACGCTTCTCTATTAGAGTTCTTCTCTTGTGCCACAAAGTTGAAGGCCGATCGTATAGCCGCTTCGAGTATCGGGTCATCACTGCCTGTAGCCAGAACTAATCCCACACGAACTGGAGTCGCATGTTTGAGCAGAGTCTCGCCAAGTTTCAATGGCGGCCCCGAGAAAGGCGATGTCGGATCTATTACTATAACCTGAAAAATAAGTAATTAATTACACAATTACACTACACAACAAATTTTCAAAAAGGTACTATTTCTGGTTTGACAATATTGCTTTCTGTTTAATTAAGCAGCAATTTGGTACAAAAGAGTAGCTATACCCCTGAAATTTTGCTTTTGTGGCTGTCAATGGTATGTATTTACATAATTTCGCAAAGCTGCACCTTTCTAGGTTCTTTGTCATAATGTCTAGAATATTGGTTGAAATATACTATTAATTTGAAATATAATGTTCCCTTTTGTCTTTATAAAAAGAAAAACAAAAAAATATTTATGTTTCCTTAATGGTACGCAAATTTCAACTTGTCCTAACCGCAAAAGCACAGTTTTTGTAGGGAAATAAAAGTATTTTCTTGTTTTTACATTAGAACTAATTAAAAGATAATATTGACAACCAATAACTGAATTCGCGTCTAATAGTGTTATAAACAACTTAATACAATTATAATTATAAGTCATATAATCAGCAAAACTTATATAGTACCTACTAGTACTTACAAAACTTGAAGCGTTGTTGTAATAACTCTAGACGTTACTTTAAAATAATTAAAAGGCTTCAATAAAACCTTTTTGCACCACTAACACCTAATTCTTACATAGCTAATTAACCTTGTAACAAATATTTATAAAAATATTTTTCTTAATTAGAAATAAAAACCTTATAATTGTCAGTAGTTAGGGTTTACAAATTGCACCCTTCATGGAAGAATGGCATAAGTGGAGTTACGTCAAACATGTTTATTGTTCCATTAGATACGAATAGAAAAATACAACTCATTCTCTCCAATTCTTGTAACCCTATCTACAATATTAGTCGAAAGAGTTACAAGAATTGGAGATGATGTAGGTTATATTTTTTTTGTATTAGTCTATAGAATTACAAGAATTGGAAAGGATGTGTTCAATAAACGTTTTTGACGTAATTCCACTTATGACTTTCTTCCTATGTAGAGTGCGAAATGTGGTAATGGCTGAATTTCTAGCAATTAAAGTCATATTAACCATAACCTCTTACTATGTCCATGGTACAGTCAATGCAAAACCAAGCTTAATGCTTTACACTTATGATCAGACATAATGTAACCAACGTAGTTAAGTTTGACGTACTCTTAACCCTGTATGTAGAAAAAAGAAACAATTCCTTTGTATAACAATCACAAGATTTCCGACCATGCAATCTGCCTGTTGTAAGGTTATTTAAGAATACATGTATTATATTTTATTTATATATTTAATATAATAATTAATATTAATATATTATATATTTGAAAGATCATTGAAGTTGTCATTATTCCTTTTTCTGACAGTCGTCCGAGTTACCTGGGCTATAATAAAGATACTTATGAAGGAGTAAAAGACCGACTTACGTAGTTATAAATGTTTCTCCTCAAATTCCTCAACATTCCAGGATAAGTAGGTCTCAACAGCTCCATATAAGAAGACGGCCAGCGTCTATATCTTTCATCAGTCTCCAAATCATTGAGCCAAGTAATAGCAGTATCACGAATGTCCAATCCATATTCCTCCCAAGTGTACGATTCTCCGAGTTCAAGTGACATCAGATTGTTTATTAGGTTTTTGGACATACCTATGAATAATTATAAAATTGTTAAATTTGTTTATTTATTTTACTTGTATGCAAACTAATTTACTCCCAAGCGCACTGGTGCTGCTGAAGGTGGTTTGTTATTTGTAGATTTTGACACTAAACATCATAACACAACGATTTTCTTGGTCTTTTAATAAACTTCAAGCTATGTTATTCGTATAACAAAAAAAACACACTATATATTTATTTTATTTATACTATATACATTTTTCTAACTTGTTTTCATGGACTGAAGTAAATACAAATCAAGGGCTTACCAAGCGCATGAAGAGTGTTCATAGGACCAATATCTTCTCTCAAAGCAGCCAGTAGACTCAAAACATCCAACTCTTCAGCATCATATTGAGCACCTGATACAAGAAGCAAGGGTTCTGCGGGGCGCAGACCCAATGCCGATGAAAAAATATCCTGATTGTAGAGTACTTCTTCTCGGAAAGTGCGGGGTACATTTACGTGAATTAAAGATTTTGTCTGAAAAATTACATTATGCAATAAAGGCTTGTCAACTAGAGTAAACGCGAGTGGTGAAACATCTCTACACACTGACACTGACGACGATCGCCATAATTTTCATATTATTCTTACAAAACTGACACTTGCCCAAGCCCAGTGGTCGCCTATAAGGAAATGATATTAACATCTCTGCATATTCTGGTTGGTTGAAGTAGCATATAACATAAGTAATCAGTACAGAGTCCTAAAAAAACCAACCTCAAAAGTCATTCATCCCGTAGTTTGTCATCCTTAGAGGTGGAATATTTTCTTCAAATTGAAATGGAACCACTACTGAAGTACCCTCTTTCCAACAAAAAAAGAATCAACAAAATCTGTTCATATATGCCGAAAATGAGTTATCGCGTAACAAACATACAAAAAAACAGTCGAATTGAGAACCTCTTCCTTTTTTTGAAGTTGATTAAAAAAAGAGTCTGTGGCAGTTCCATTTTTGATATCAAATAGATTGGAGTAGCCAAATATATTCGGATAAAGTAGATAGATATACTGTGATGGTGAACATTGAGAAATAGAATTTTCCTTTTACACACAAAATAATCAGGGATCAGAACATTACCTTAGAGCAACATAAAATGAGTGTTTCTACCTGCATTGGAAAATTTTGAGCAATAGAGGTGAGAACTCTCAACGACTCGTCGCCGCCAGAGTCATGGGCGTCAACCACCGCCGCAGCTGCTTGCATACTCAGCCCTTGCATTTGCCATATTTTAAGTGGAGCCAGTTCTTCGCTCGCTTCGGATAAGTGCTGACGGAAACGTTCGAGTGGTGTGCGAAGAGCAGGGAATAGGTTTCTGTGGAATATCTGTAGATTGTAACTTATTCAAGTAAAATCAATGCTTAACTTATTATACTATTTCTTATATCACGAGAAGTTTGAACATTGTGCGATTTCTTGGATGCTATTTGAAGGAAGGATTAGGAATAACTAAGTAAAAATTTTTATTCCACACTAATTTCGGCATTTGGTTTTACAAGCATAAATCAGTTAAAAAAGTAAAGTTAATCCTCAAAAGTCAATTATACTTTAATATATTTACGTACTTCAGTCTTCCAAAATTGAATCCATCAATTTGATTCTGTGGGTCATTCTCGTCTTCTTCTTCAGAAGGCGCTCCAGCGTCACCAGCATCAGCTTCTTTAGGTGTCGTATCATCCTGACTTTTGTATTCTGTACTCTTCAATTGTAGCTCGACACCGTAACCCGATAGGCGAAGCTTGGGCTTTCCTCGAGGCTATTCAATTATCGTAATCGTATTAATAATACTTTATTGCAATAAGTGAAAGTTAGTCATAAAACATTATACTACGTGAACGGACTCATATTACATAAGAACTTCCAAAACAAGATTTTATAGTATACATTTACATATTATAAATAAGTAGTTTAATTAGCTTAAGAAATATAATCAAGAAACGAGTTGTAAACATAATTATGTCAATCATTTGTATGGTATTTAAGAAAATCTACTTGTTCTCAATCAAGAATTTATTTTGTACCTAAAGTGAAATTACTAACAAACTGCATAACTAAAGCAATTACCTCTACAATCAATCACATATAAACTACTTTAAGGTTATACGATTTCTGATTGCAAACCTTTAAAACAATATTTCGTAACTTCAAATCCTACAGGATTTGTCAGGGAAAAAGTTATCATCGTAAAAAAATAATCATAATTTTTGGGAAAGCACAATATTTTTTTTATTTTTTCCATCCTATTCTACTTATATTGCCCAAACAACTCCTATAAAGGTGTACAATCTATTATGTAACAACATGTGTAATATATTCGTCCTAACAATCTATAATATTGTAGAAATGAATGGAGACTATGTATATGTCAATGCCCTAAGAACAACTAACCCATATTAAGTCTGCAAGGTATGTTTTGAGTTTCCATGTCTTCTCCCAAGTGGCCTGTTCCACAATTAAAAAAATAGACGTGACCAAAGAACATGACTGACTTACATAAACAATTTTATTTTAACAGTTTCTAATAATTTAATAACCTCAACCTATAAAATTATTATTATAACTTTCATTAATTAGCAACAATTGAGTTAATTTTTGATTTCCGTTTCTTTTCTAAAATAACGCAAAAAAAATATTTATAAGTCCGCCTGTAGCACTATATATGTTTTGTGTTCTTTTTGGTCCATAATTATTGCTCTCATGTCATTTATTATAATAAAGCAAATATATATTTTTTTTTCAGTCAGAAAGAAAATGGGCTACAGCACATAAACATAACAGCTCTATACATCAGGAATTAGAAACAGAATACAGCAATTAAAAAGTTAATACTGACCTTCACATTCCATCGTACCACATAATTGATGGCACCGATATCAGCATATGTAGCTAATATTTTATGCTTGGTTGTGAAATCACTCATGCCAAGCTCTCCATACAAAATGGCAGTGAGACTCTTGTTATCACTGCTGGGGTATGAATGGTCTAGTAAATATGTATCCAGTTTATGCTCGTCCTAGAAATAAAACATTACACAATAGTATTATTGTATCGCTGACAGCACATCAAGCTACACATTGACGAATCTTGTCAAAATGTGTAGTTTCATGTGCTGTTGACTGTACATACTTGTTCTTAGGGTCGTATTCCAGAACTCTACTCAATACTCAAGTCAGGACTTGAGTATTGCAGTGAGCACTGAAAATCATACTAAAGTCCTTGCCATTAGAGTCGTATTTCCAGTGCTTGAAATCATACTCAAGTCTGCTCAAATCTTGACTTGAGCATTGAGTAGAGTTCTGGAATACGACTCTAATGGCAAGGACTTGAGTATGATTTTCAGTGCTCACTGAAATGTACTTATAAGATCATAACATATATGTCTGCAGCTGGCACTAAAAAAGTAACCATTTTCACACAATGTAGAAAGCATTCCCAGTAAAGGCACGTGTATTATTTTACTGGCTTTTACCTATTCTTAAATTAATGTATCCAAATTTATCTCCTGAATGATCTCTCTTTATAAGATACGAGTTTGAGAAAGTAAGCGCCCAGTAAGACGAGGCGAAATATTTCGCGCGGCCGTCTGTGTTTTACCCCAATACGTGTACGACACGTTTTAACATTAGCATGACTCTATTGGCATCCGTGGACTTACCCCAAATGAGAACCGTACGACATTAGCGAGTGGAAATGTGCAAAATAGACCTGTCTTAATGCAGAGTCATAAATGAGCAATTTCAGTTTACGCAACGCAAAGACTGCACCACTCAGTCTATCACAGTCTGTCAACATGGCACTTCCAGTTAACCAAAAAGGAACCTACTCTCATTGCATATATCGGCATCGGATTGTTTGCTACACACAGAGGAACTGTGTGACCTCAACCCGAGAAAGCCATGATGTTGGATTTAGTGATATTCAGCAGCAACCCATTCGATGTAAACCACCTCTGGAGCTGCTTACACCCTTCATTGATTCTCTCACCCAGCTGTTCGTACGTGCGCGCGCTAACTATGACTATTGTGTCAATGCAAACAGTATGGAGAGGCCAGCTGTGATGGTAGTGGGAAGATCATTTATATATAATAGAAATCGCGTGTTTCCTAAGGCAGACCCTTGGGGAATTCTTTAGTTCACACTACCAGCACCAGACTCCCAGTTGTTTACTATTCAAAGATAATTTTACCACTTGCGTCTTATCTGATAAGAATGAGGTGAGAAGTTTGTGGCTCTTGCCCTGTACTCCATAATAATATAACTTATTCAACAGGAGTTCATGATTAATCACAAATAAAGGCTTTGGTCAAGTCACAAAATATGCTCACCATTTTATACTTCTCATCCAGATTGGAAACTGAGCAGTCAAATATTTTATGTGCTGCAGTAATTGTAGACATGTTCTGCCGATATGCAAATTGCCTATCCATCAGCAATTCATTGTCCTCAAGGTGGCTATCATGTGGGAAGGTAGGATAGATTCCAGAATTTTAAATATAGTAGGAACAATCACTACTGGTCTGTAGTCATTCTTCAAAGATTACATCACACTTGTCACCCTTCCTCTTGAAGACAGGACACACCCTGTACATGTACACCATGTACATAAATGGCAAATCTGAATTCTATTTACTAGCTAACAACATTTAAATTCTTCAGAATATTAAAAATACACGGCCGCCGCATGTGAGGGACACACATTTAAGTTAAAACATAAAAACTAAACAAATAGAGTGTATTTTGCCTTGACAGTTAGATACATCATGGCAAAGTGGGCTCCACTCTTCGACCGCACAGCGTTAACGTGATGAAATTCGTGTCGAATAAATGCGCCATATGGCATCAAAATAAAGTATGTCCAAGTAATAATAAAATTTATAAGCTATCTAATTCAGGGTCCACACCCTTGGCCCATTTGGGTTTTGTGAAAGCTTGGTGAACTGTGCCAAACATGTTACAATGTTAGTCATTTTGTTGTTCTAATCATAGACAGAAAAAATATAGTAATGTGCAATGCAAATTTTATGTTTACACAATAATATATTATGTTTGTTGTTTTAAGAACTATGTTTAATGTTTAATTGTCTGTTTTGATATAAAAGTACCATCCAAATTCTTTGTGCATTACTTTTATCAATGACAAATTGTGTTTTAACTCACATAGAACTTCAAAATGAATGTGTACTTATAATATAACATTGCTTACATAGTTAAACAACTTAAGTTTAACAGGTAATGCTGATATAAAATCATTTCACTCACAAAATATGTACTCACATTTGCAATTAACTTCAAGGTTGATTCACTATTTCTATTCGAGTTTTAGTGGAAACAATCGGTCATTATTGCATGAAATGTACACAATTTTATGGTTTCCTTTCAATTTTGTCTTGTTTTTGTTCTAAAACTACAATTGTGATACCATTCAGTGATTAAAGTGATTTCATAGTGAGTGAACAAATCATAGAAAATGTGGTTTAAAACTGAAGAGGACCTTGCTTTCTGTTTACTGATTGTTTATGTAGTGATAGCAGCAACATCCTTAAATTTCAAGATTCACATGATGGTTGTAATAGGAGTGCAATATTTCTTTAACTTGTGTTACATACTAAATTTTGCATTGGATTAAACAATATTTACTTACAGCATTGTATTTGTCATAGGATTTTAATATATCCCGTAGGACAACATCATCACAGATTTTCATTGAAGCAATGGCAACAAAAGTACTGCATTCAACTTCCTTAGCTCCATTTTGGGTGGCTACTTGGTCGAACATACGAACTGCAGGTGAGGAGGTGTGCATAGACAGCGCGAGCTTCGCCATCCGCAGCTGCGCTGGCGCAAGCAGCGTGCTCGCAACACCGATACACGCATCGTAAACTTGTTTATCAGTCTCTGAAAAACCAAACATGCTATGAGTATACTTTGAAAATTAATGTTATATATACAGCGAGAAGCAAAATATACAGAACATCTCACCTAAGTTATCAAGACTAGTCTTCAATGAATTTATGCCGTTCACAAAGGACCAGAACAAGTCCGTGTTCTCGCCCGCGAGGTACTCTGCCAATTCCAACACGATAGGAGTAGTTTCCCACTTTGCACTCACATAAGTGGTTACAGACTTTGACTTCTTATCATCTCTTTTGGGAGGATCCACATTATTAGCCCAAGTGAATGATAAATTTACTAAAATAACTACCGAAACTATAACGCCGGTGGGTTTCATCTTTATATGAGCTGTACGCCCTAATTAAAGTTTATTGTAGTAGTACTTAGTAGTACCACATTTTAATGACACGTAATAAACGTTCAGGCTTTTTGATACATTAATTGTTTTATAAAATTTTCGTTAATTCTTATGAATAAGCCCAACGATCACCACAACCACCAATGACAGATGAACACGGCAATGACAAGTCATTTACGTTTGAAAAGGTAAATAAAAATGTCCTATAGAAATTTCTCATTTTCTCTTTCTCATCTTAGGTGTTGCACGTCAAATGTAATTATAATAAACAAATTAAAGTTCTTAAATTAGAGCCAAATTAAAATCTTGCCCGTTCGTTGCCCGCAAAATTCTTGACATAGATAAAATTCTTGAGTTACTCGCAAAACTGAAAAAAAAAAAAACCGGGTTTACACAACAATGTTAAATAAGACCTTATAGACGTGCGTACACAATAAATGATTTGATTTGATTTCTGACATATTTTTTCCTATGGTAACAATTCGGAATGTTGCTTAATTGTCTATGATGGTTTATTGAGCTGTCAAATTGTCACTTGATTCGTTCGTTGTCGTAACAGTTTTTCATTGAAATTTAGCTATTTAACTTAAATACCAATGGAATAATAGTATCACAAGAACCATAATACATTTAATCTAGTTTGGCTAGTAAGTTAATTTCTTTAAAATGCGCTACGACATCACGAATATCGATATTGCGGTCATCGATGTACCTACACTCGTTGTAGCATAAAAATGTACACTTATATTTTCCATTTAAGATTCCTTCTTTGATATGATGTTCAATTTTCTTCAGTTATTTTAAGCTCACATCACTCTTGTGCTTTTTACCTGGTGTTTTGGTTTTAGGTTGAAAATTATTACGATGCAGTTCACCTCTGACGAAGCGTACGCCCGATTAATCAGCCATAATATGACTGTTCCACAAAGAATCAAGGTATTCATTGTATTCCGATTATAACCTTAGCACAGTCACTACTAATGCACGCACGAGTGCAATAGCAATTAAGCTAACATGTTATTATTTATATAACTGGATACCTTCTAACAAAACAGTTAGTAGTATGTTGTGATTACCAACTAGACTTGTGTCGATCGAATGAAAGTTATTCGAACAGCACCTGTGTCCTGATACCGGGGTTGTGACCCTCTAAATAATTTGATCATTTTAGAATTTCAACCATTTTTGTTTGACCAACTTGAGTTGTGTTTGCAATATTCTATTAATGCTTATAATTTTAGAGGTTTTTCAATAACACATAATTTTTTCAATTCACATAACACACAGTCTGGAGCTGACAATATTATTTTATAGCCTCCTTCACTCCCACTTACTTCACCCCACATATGACCCAGTTCGCCTTCTCACATTGTTAGTTGTGGTAAACACTTGTTCAATAGAACCTTCGTCTGATCAACCCAAAAATTCAATCAATCAATCAACGGGTCAACTAGTCAATGCATCAATCAATCAGTCATCCTAATTATTGTTCCGTAGTGTGGTATACATTACATGTTACATTAAGTGTAATTTTGTAGTTTAGTCTGTTTTTTGGTGTGTTGTGTTTATGAGTGCACTAACTAATATTAAATTAATAATTTTGAACACTCATAAGTTTTTGTTATGTATTTTTGTTTTATAGGAGTTAATTTTCCTGGAAAGAAATATTAATGTCTAAAGTATGGTTCATTTAACTTTATACTATCAGCAGGAAAGAATATAAGCTAATTGTACTCTAAAATGCCATATGGAAGCATTGTGAGTGACGAGTGACCTGCTAAAGGGTGGAACATATGATCGAATTATTTACACATAAGTCACCTAAGTCATCAGAATTAATTGATTAACATGGCCTACTACCAACTACAAGCTTTTTTTTTTTATTTATAGCACAGATTGTTTATGGTTCAAGGACTGATTGCAGATGGTTACAAAATAAAATTAAAAAAAGAAACTATAACGAAAACTGTAAATGTTATAACTATTTACAGGCAACTGGAGATATAGTGGATGATGATGGTGCACCAAATGGATTTGTGACAGGCTGGGATTACTCTAATGAAAAATTTGACATGAAAGTTCCTGAGAGGATTCTTGTTGTTGGTCAAGACCAGCACTTAGGTGGAGATATACTTTTTTTTATACTTGTATTGACTTTCCTTTTCTATGTAAAAAGTTAAAACAATTGTTTAGCCAACACAACTGGTATATACCTGGACTCATCTGTAGAACAAAGTCCTATATGCAGGACTGCTTATTCTCAGGACACTACATTTTATTCGTTGTTCTTCACTGTGAATATGAGATTGATCGTTGTTCGACTTTGTTTCCAAAACGAAATAAGATATAAAAATTGTGATAAACACCTATAGCTAGGCTTTGGTTTGAATAATGATATTATGTATTTATCCTCTTTTTGCTGTATAATCACGTAGGACTCTGTTCTTTGGATGAGTCGACCTAAAAGGAATAATTTACCATACATAATAAAAATTCTTATTTGTCCTTGATACATAAGAAATGATGAACTTATAAAATTACTGTTACTGGTTAAAAGACAAACTATTAATTAAATAATTTAATAATACGAATTGAACAGGTACAAAGGCCACTCCTCGGGAAATCCAACTGGACAATGCAGTACTCCCAACTGATCCAGGAATGATCCGTGTCAGCACACCACCACGTGTGATCACACTTGACCAACACTATTTCCCATCAGCTGATGATTTTCCACTTGGAGTTCCGAATTCACCACCAAGAAATATTCGAACATACCGAGCCCCAGGTGATGGACCTCGATCCGCACCACATCCTGACAATTTCAATGAGTCTACAATGACTGAGTCTCGTTTAGTGCTGAGGTACACTTAATTCACTGATTATCTATTTTTTTATATCCATTGGTGGTTAATTTGTTTGCACTACAGTTTACTTTGAAAAGTGTATTTTACACAGCAGTAATTTCTCAATAATATGCTTGTTATTAGTATTTATAGTGAACTGTTGTTGCAGAGATCCTACCCCACCTATGGGTAATGGTGAAGGACTCTCCATTAGTGAAGAGTTGGTGCATTTACGGCGACAAATTGTCAAAATGAACAGACGTGTCATGGCTATAGAGGCTGAACAACTGCAAAGGCAACAAAAGGAGAAGATTGCATATGCAATTGGGATTGCATACCTGTTGTTCAAAGTAATTGCTTGGCTCAATAGGTCCTAATTCTCAAGAAGGAACGATAAAGTATAAGATGAAGTATATTGTGTTGTTGACTATATGAAATTTACAGGCGGAGACCATTTCATAAACGCATGTACAGTAGAAATGCATCTTTAATCCTGATGATGTAGTGGATAATTTTAAACGTTGAAGTGTTAATTCAAACATTGATTTATTAGCATTTAGGTAACATTTTTTTATACCATGTACATTTCTGTAATTTCTTGTACAGTGAACTGAAATTTTCAATATACATAGTACTTTCAACTTTTCGTTTACATTTTAATGAATTGTTGATTTACTGATGTGACCTCTCTATAGCATAGTTATTATGGGTCATTTTTTATTTAAATAAATACCTGATAGATTTCAAAGTGTATTTTCTGTATCAACAACATTGTTCTTTTTCCCTGATAGTTACTATATATATCGAAACAATTAGGATAACAAAAAGAAATTCATTAATCAGGTTAACACTCAATATATTCCGAAAAACATCATAGACATCAACACAGGTGTTCTAAACATTCAAATATGAATGCACTTATAGAAATATACTGTATTTCAAAAGTTCAGTGACTTACTCTAATGAGTACTAAGAATAATACACAAAAATAGTCCAACTTCTATTATGTTTGAGTGGGTTTGTCTTCATAAATGAAAATTACTGAGAACAGTGGTCCACCAAGGCGTTGCGCGAACCATGCACTCTTGACAACAGCAAGTTTAAGAGAATCTACTGCAAGCCTAGTGTTAAAATTGGTATGGAGGGCTCTGCCCATTCCTTCTAGTATTATGAGGTCAACACCACGTACTTTCATCTCTGTGCAAAGGCCTGAAAGAGAAAACAAATGCATGTTAATAAAAATAAATTTACTATATTTGAGAGGTACTGACGTACAAGGATTGCCCTTGATCTATTATTTCAGATATTTTTCTTTATGGCCACAACTTTTTTCTGGGTATAAACATATAAAGTGTAGGTAATTTTAATTTCGAGTTGTCAGCCTCCAATAATAAGACTTTTAAACATCACAACTCAGAAAGAATTCATACAAAATCAATAATCCTAGCAAATTCCAGACACAATAAACTCGGAACTTTATCTTTGTTTTTGTATAGATACCTTTTCAATTGATGGGACAAGTATCTTCTAAAGGTAAATGCAATACTTCTGTGGATCATACCTACGCTAATAGTCCTGAGATCCAGGCACGGCCCTCTTTGGCCACTAGATCTTACAACTAAGTCCCCTGTAGCTATGGCTGCTGACAATACAGGACAGATTAAGGCCGCCCTTTGTAATATCTCTTCTAATTCCACATTAGTAACATCATTTAGAGCTGGCCATTCATTCGCGCATAAAATTACTGATGTTCCTCTAAGAAGGAGTGCTCTGACGAAAGGGAGAACACCTAGGACTATATCGACGCCACTGTTGTCAACAAATATTGCGGCGCAGTGGTGTACAGTTTTCTGTAAAAAATAGGTATTTTAAATACTAGTCTTAATAGCTACTGCATTTGACTATGTGTCCAGTATTTAAAGGTACAGAAGAATATATTGTTTTTAAAATGCTTTGAACAGTTCTGCTTCTTGACTAAAAAGAACAAAGTATTAATATTAAACCTTATAACAATTGGCAAATAAACAAAACAGGCCATAGTACCTCTAGTTTTTCCAACCATTTGTCTAAACCATCATAAAGCCATGGCCTTTTTTGGATTTTTTGTCTAGCTTCATACAGGCCACAATTTAATATGGCAGTCACAGCCTGTGCTCCCCAATCAAACATATTGCCTGGAATATTAGAAAACAGTGTACAGGATGAATACATACATATACAGAATATATACAGAAGAACCTATGTATAAATTATTTACAATGCAGATAAATGCTACTTCCTTGACTTTCTACCTGTCTATTAATATGTAAGTTTAAGATAATTCATTTCAGCAAACTATAATTTGTAATTTTACTGTGGTAATAAAACAATCGAAAGCTTTTTTTCTATATTAAAAAAATATAACAATCCCCCATTTCATAACTCACGCTGCAAACATTGCTAGATATTTGCATTTACCACACTATACAAAATTGACTTTGTATGTAATAAGCAAAATTATATACGTTTAATTTTCTCTGACAATTCAAAATTACATGAGACTAGTTTGTTATATTACACATTAATGTTTAATACGTACCAGCTAAAATCCCTCTGCATAACTCAATCCACCTCTGTCTATCATCAGGCAAAGCATCAATCTCGGCTAATCTCGCACTGAGTGTTGCCAGTGCTGTTTCATTTTCATACTTCTTTTGCTGTTTCCAAAGGTCAAAAAACCCTTGAGATCGTAAACATGTTTCATTGATATCAAGAAGTAATCTTACTGTTAGTAATTGTCCTTGAGCACTAGAAAGAATATTGCAAAAGATAATTTAAAAGTTAAAAGATTCAGTCAAACATTAAAGGATTCAGTTTATAATAATTTCTGTAACAATTTTAGAGTTACGATTATGTACAGTCAACAGCACATCAAGGCCCGACAATGTGTAGCTTGATCTGTAAATATGCCTATTTATGAGTATCTTATAATGTTTTTATCACTAGATAGCAGTACCTCTGCAATTACAAAAAATAAACAATAACCACTGCACCACACACAGGTCTGTTTTGTAGTAGACATTAGTCTATAGTCTGACCATTAGAAAGTGTTTTTCATGCACAAAAATACACTTCATGTTTAACAGTGAGTATGGTAGTACCAACGTAAAACAGACAATTTGAATTATCCTATAAACACACAACTTACAGATGATTTTTTATTGAATGTTGTATTCCAGGAAAACATGAACTTTGTTATGTCATGTTGTTTTGTTTATCATGAAACTAGGTATATAATATACATCATAAGCACAATAAGGATACATGATTGTCAGACAAGCATGGTGAATAATTATAAGTCTTAACTTAAACAGATCCGTAATAAAAAAGTGCTTAATAATTGCAAACATTATTACATTACCAGGGAATAAACATGAACTTTCCTAATTCTGTACTTACAGAGGATTTATTCGGAGTTCTTTTAGCGCTTCCACATAGCAGGTTTTGAACTTCAGGGCTCGAATTTCAACCGTCGGATCGTCCGTATTCAAAAGAGCAAAATTTACATATTTATCCACAAGTTTTTCGCAAGTACTCAGCCAATACTCTCTTGCTTCTTCATCTACGAGCAGATCCAATGTATCTGGATTATATTTTTCTGGTTCGTAAAGAATATGGGATAGACCAAAATGTTCCATAGTGAAACCGCTTCAGAACAGAGCAACGAGACTCACGACAAATGTACTGTATTTATTTACTATTCCACTATCCCATTGTTCATTTTATCACAGTACGCAAATATTGCTTTTAGACTATTTTATTTATCTTATCAAAATAATATCTCTTGTCAGTAAATAGGTATTTTGCCCAGACAATGATTGCCGTTATTCTGTCACTGATAACGCACTGTACCACTGTACGCCTGTCGCCAACATTTTGACAATTTCACCATCCTTCTTTTTCTCTCATACATTCATTATATGAGACAACATCATGTTTGAAAATCTAGCTCGAAGCACATGATGCCCAAGGCGAGAACTATTCATTCATTTCATCATTCAATGACCATTTAAAAAAGTTAAAATTTGAAGTTACTGAACGAAAACGATGGAACCAACCAAAGTTGGTGGTGATGAGGTTGTTGGAGGTTTTTTCGCAGTTAATAATTTTAAATCTCGTTTTCTTTAAGTGGCTTTTAGTGAAACAAGTTTATTTTATAATTCACGCTAAACAAAACATATTTTTAAAAGTAGAGATAATATGAGCCTTCCAAATAACATTTATCAAAATTTTCCAATTTTTCGGGGATTTATAAAATAAAAATGGAAAAAATAGAAATTTTATTTTCTGACATCTATGGATTTAAATCGTTTCTTCAAAATTATTCCTTTCGTTCATTCGGTCGTCGTATACTTCTATTTGTCTATTGGCTGCTTGTTGCTTACGATTGTCAATGGTGCTTCGAATTCTTGATCGCTTGCCCGTTTACGTGTTTTAATTTCTTGAATTCTTAGAAATGTGTTTGAAATGGATAAAACTTATCATATTCGAAATAGACTGAATTTCGTAGAGAGTGAAAAGTGATATGTTTGTGCTGTTGAATTGTTGTTGTAACATTGGGTGTTGTGATTTTTATGATTGATGTAACGAACCAGTGTACGGCAAGATGGACGAATTGTCTAAGGGCATGACACAAACAGGAAGCGCCGCTTCAACTGACAAAATTCAAGAAAATGATGGTAAATAGTATAATCATAGCATTCACAGCATTAATACTTATGTAGAAAATACTAGAACAATTTGGCCTCTAATGCATGGCGTACCTACCACCGCAAGATTCGAATTTTTGGTTTGTAAACATGAATTGTTCTCTGGCTTTCCGTTAAAAACCTTCAAATTATTTGTATAATATTTGACGGGTTAACTGTGCTGTCTAACTTGTGCGGCCTTGGTATAAGGTTTGCAATGTTTGTTATAATTTCGGTCCTCACAATTTCTACCTATTGTTATTATTATAGTATTACCAAGACTTTCCAGCTGTTAATTCTGTAGCACTTACTGCAATTTGCTTGAAAACGGTCATTTGGTTCTGGCAGCTGTCCGTTCACTAGTTACTTATTCACTTTACGTAAATCACATCCAAGTTTGGGTCATAACATACGAAATAATGTAACAACCTGTTGATTGTCAATATTATTTGTTCACATGATTTTATATTCTTAAGCTAATTATTTTTCAATTTTTACTAGTAAAAAACATATTAAGGTGTCCTCATTTGAGCATTGTCACTACAGTTGGTATCAGTACTCACCTATTCATCATAGTAAATTTGAAAAACAAAAATTAAAATAAGAAATTGGGACATAATTTGTGCCATTTAGCATGTCAATGGCAGTCTGACTGACTTTCATCTTGAAGTCACAATTCGGCAGAGATAGATATTGCAATTTTTATATTGCTTCAGTAACATATTAAAATCTAATGACACTTACAAAAAATTGTAATTGCGGCATTTCACTCTGTGAATTTATATGTTGTTAATATCACATTTTTATGACTGTAATTATAATTTATTAATTATCATTTTAATGATATACATGTTATAACAATCACAATTATGTTACTATGGTATACTTTAAACCTTATATAAAAATTATATAATTCAGTTTCTTTAAGTTAATCATTTAAAAAATAGAAATGTTTAAATTTTTATTTAATATCCATAAAAAGCTATGGTCCTTTACAAAGGCAAATTTTAATTTACTTTGTTTTTACCTTCTTATCAGACGAGCGTACCTTTCTGCCATTTTATTTTAAATATTCTATGTCAGAATATGCTTGAGTTGTAGTTGAGTTTCAGAAATGTTCACGTTCCAATTTTCTTAATTTCTTCTCTCTTGAGAATATTCAGTTTTCTTAATTTGTTTTAATTAATTTTGGTGTTGATTTGTTTAAAAAAAAACATGTTATGTTACATTTTTATAAAAAACAAAAGCAAAATATTTAATTAATATATTTCATTACTATCAAACCATTTAAAGGCTTACAACACCTCAGGCCATCTGCACATCTAACTCACTGCTTCCATGATATGCTAGTTATTGTTAGCACATTACTGAAAATATTGAAGAGTATTGTTTTGACAAATAATGTATACTGTGGCAGGAAGGGGTGAAGGGTCACTATAGACATGCTAAATCACACTTAGTAAACAAAATTTTGTTTTCTCAAATGAATGTACTTCCACTGATTTAAAGTTGTTTTCCAGTTAGAAGCACAAGATCGTATTATGTCCACATGTATCAAAAAGACGACAATGTGCTACCAAGTAAAGAAATTATTGAGAATGATACAAATTAAATTAATTGGCTATGTGCTATGTGCTATTTGCAATATAAACAAATACTGTAACTGTCAATAGACTGTGGGTTACATACAGCCATGGCCAAAAGTATTGAGCACTCTAAAAATCCCGAACGTGCACAATAAGTATTGCAGAAAACGGGACCTATTGTTAAGGATTATTTTTTCGGCAACTATAAAGGTTTAAAAACAATGACCACCACATCTCAACTAGCAATAAAACACCTGGTGCCATAAAATTTGTCATTTTACCATTTTTGTATTTATTTCTCAGTTCACTACTATCGCTCATTACGTACACATCCAGTGATCTGGTGCGCTTTTGGTGTTTTGTCTAGTTACATTTAGTGATATTGTTGCAATAAGGCATATTAAAAGAAACAAACTTAGTTTAGAACAACGTGTACAAATACAGCTTCTTCATGAGCAAGGGAAATCACAGGTAGAGATTTCTAAAACTGTGAAATGTTCATGCCGATCTGTGCAATATGCTATTGAGCGATTCACCGCTACTGGATCTCATAGGAACAGACACAGAACAGGGCGCAATCGCATCACCACAGATCGTGAGGACCGAAAGTTAATGAGAGAGTCGTTAAAAAATCGAAAAAATCTTCTTCAGACCTCGCTACTAATTTCTCAGTTGAAATTAAGAGATCAATTTCTGCTCGCACTACTCGAAGAAGGCTTCAGGAAGTTGGCTTGAAAGGCTGTAAAGCCAGGAAGAAACCACGGCTCTCACAAAACAACAAGAAGGCTCGGTATGAATGGGCCTTAAAATATCAAAGTTTCACCGAAGAAGATTGGTCAAATATCGTGTGGTCAGATGAGTCAAACTTTGAGGTGAGTTAGGTAATTTCACGTTCTAAAGATATTAAACAATATGATTTAAAAATAAAATTCAATGACAAAAATATTTTACATTTCCAAAGTCTCTATTTTTTTTTTTAATTTAATATTTTTGGTACACCTGGTGTGACTTTTGTGCGCCGCCGGGTAGGCAAAGAATTTAGTCCAGCCTATGTACTACCAACCGTAAAACACGGAGGAGGTAGCATAATGGTCTGGGGCTGCATGACTGATTCAAGAGTTGGCGAAATGTTCGTGTGTGGGGGTCGCATGAACTCTTCACGTACGTTAACGTCCTGGAATCTGAGTTGCTGCCCTCATTTTCAACCCTTTTTGGCGATACAAATATAGATGGCGTTAAATTCCAGCAGTATAACGCACCGTGTCATAAATCTGCCTACACTATGACATGGTTTCGAGAAAAGAACATTGAGCTTCTAGAGTGGCCTGCCCAGTCTCCGGACCTAAACCCCACAGAACATTTATGGGGTTTATTAAAGCGCAACGTCAGGCGCCACTCAATAAACACAATGGAAGAACCAAAACGCCGTCTGCGCCAAGAATGGAACGCTATACTTCCTGAAGACTGTAAAAATCTTGTCCGCTCTCTACCAAAAACAATTTCTGCCGTAATTAAGGCAAAGGGTGGACCAACAAAATATTGATTTTTATTGAATAAATGGTAATATTAACATGTATAAATTGTTTCAAATTATTCAATTTTCATATTCCCCAAAAAACTGTAAGTTATCATGGGTGAGCACCCAAGTACCCAATACTTTTGGCCAAGGCTGTATTTGGCTATGTTGATAGTCATTAGGTTTTTCTAAATGGAATGTTTTTTCACAAGTTATCAAACTATTTACAGGAAATGAACTAACAGCCAAAAAATTCTCAATATCAATTTTTCCAATTTGTTTCATTAAATATATTATGAAGTGTTTTTTGTATAGTGTTTTATTATATAATATTGGGTAGAGAACGAATAGAGAGTGTAGATTCTGCCACAAGACTGATGAAATTCCTGTTCATCTTCTCACCCAATGCTACTCCCTGATGAGCATGCGAAGCTCCATACTGGGGAGGCATATGACACAACCAGAGGACATAAAATCTGTTAGAGCCAGGAAAATCTTTCAGTTCTTCAATACTGTCGGTCTTGAACTGTAATTAGTGATGATCACAATAGATCAGTTGATGGTCGCAGTGATGAGGGGCTGCATATGCCCCGAATGAAGCCACCCTTATAATAATAATGTTTTATTTGGCATCATCATAATGCTTAACACACGTAATAAAAAAAGAATTAGCATGGTCAGAAGTAATACTAGAAATGAAAAAAAGTTGTATTTTTTTATACAATGTTTTTCTCTCTATCTTCAGAATATATAATATCAGGATAAATATTTTACACCTAATGAAATTAACATATAAAACTCTGTTAACTTACGAAGTAAACATTTAAATGGTAGTCTGTGTGTTAGTCAATTCAGAGAAAATTCAATGACCAAAAAAAGAAATAAAAAATTCCATAAAGCAGTCCCTGAAGAAAGTCATGGCTGAATTAATTAAATTACAAATTAAAAATCATTAAATCCAATCATCTAATTGAATTAATCTTGACCCTCGACATTTGAAACTCTGCTGTTTGATAACCCAGTAACCTTCGAGATAAACATTTCAAAGTGACTCTCCTCCAAGATTCATTGGCTTCACCAATCACAAGTCAGTGTAAGTAGTACCTGTAATAAGGAAACACGCAATCTTGATTTGTGCTGCAAGGCTATGTTTGCTGAATATATTATTTTAATAGACCCTCATACAGTCAGAATTAAGAAGGAAAATAGAGGTAGGTTATACATTATAGTTTTGTTGTTTTTGTTTGTTCATGACATTTTTAATGCTGATGTTTCATGCTTGTGAGTTCTATATTACTGTCTTGAAACTGTCGCTCACAGCATTGCAACTTTAGTGGATAAGCCCTCAATTGTAAAAAAAAATATTTTAGGAAAATTGATTTACAGTACACTAGGCAAATAAAATGTACACAGGAAACAAAGCATGTTGTGCTTTCGGGTAAAGTATTTATGTAACAAGACTAAAAACTCACTTTTAAATGTTTTGTTTTAAACAAGAGGTATTAGAAACCAGTCTATATAAGTGAAAATTATGCTTAAACTGATACTGTGATTGCTTTTAAGTTTAAATTTTAACTTTATATACTAGGTGTGAAAATCTCTTTATCTATTTGGTTAAATCTATTACTATGTTTTATGTTGTCTACATATAAAGTGACAGTTTCTGTTATTTTTAGTTCTGGCTATGCCTGCAGGATTTTGACATTGAGTAAGTTTTATGTCCTCCTATAAAGAAATACTTTTGACTTTTGAATCATTTTTACCATTAGGGATGTTCAAGTACATACGTAAATGTAGAACTGCATTCTGTAATTAAATTTTTTTTTTGTTTGGCCTTTTAATGTGCCAGTTATCTTATCTTACGCATACGTTCCTACTATTGGTTTGTTTATGAAAGGCTTAATGTTTCAATCCTTATCATTGGTACAGTCATGGAAGAGCATGAATGGCTTAATAGTTTTTTATTTCATTTTAGAATGGTATGGTAATGGTATATTGTTGAAACGCACTGCTTTTGCAGATGCCGTGAAGCGTGGTTTGCGGCAAGCACGCCAACCATGCTAGCGTTGGTAGAACAACTGCGGTCATACCTCGGTGGGGGATGTGAGTGGTCATCAAGGCATGTTGGGTGCTGCACAACGTAATCAATAAACAGTTTTGTTGCTCTATCATTCAAACTTTTGAGTTTCTTTAATACTGAATACTCATGCATGAAGAGTGCAAAGTATGAATATTGAATAGCTAATTTTTTTGTAGGCACATTTGCATTAATTTACATAATCGGTTACATGGTATTATGTTGACTATTACCATGTGTTCCCATCTTGTCTGGTGCGAAACCATACTTATAATTCAATGAAACAGTGCATTTCAATAACATTTTATTTATAAGAAGTATTGCATGGTTTTAAGGAGTTATTGTGAAATAACATGTTTTCAGGACTTACGTTAATAATTTTCTTTCGGGGAAAACCTGAAGTATGAAACCATATGCAAAATTACTACACATTTTTCTAAAAAAAAAAAGTTTTTAGTTACATCATATTACGTGCCTCAAATTGCCAGTTGTCTATAATGTATTGTTATGTTTGTTAAAATTGTTCATTTCTCTTTTTGTTGTATGGCTTTGAGGTGCCCGTTAGTTCCAAAGAGCGCGCATGCGAAACATTTGAAGAACAACTTTCTACGCGTTACTTCAAATTAACATTGAAATTAGACACCAGCAGCATTTGCTGTAGCTGTCGCGGTGCATGCCAAGAGAGCCGGGTGTTCCCTGTGTCGCAACAGTGACTAAGCGACCCTGAACCATTAATGTGGGAATGCTCCTAGAGGTCGCGACGCGGATTGTTATGTATAATAAGTTCATTTTTAAACCTAAACAAAAGGTAGTACATTGCTTTTTATCGATGCACACGATAAAACCACAATTGAAACTGTAACTTGAAGTGCCTAGGTGACCGACAGGTTGTGATGGAAAGGTGAAAAAATTATCGAGTTATATCTGTTATCAGTATCGCTTCTTTAAAGTACCTATAAAAAGTATAATATAATTATGTATATATTGTTGTCACTTAAAAAATAACTTATTTTTTTCCAATTATTAGTAGTTTGTCAATTTAATGGTTAAAATGTATAGGCATTGTGGTGATTGCGAAGGTGTAGTATTTGAAAATTCAATTCGTCGTAGTCGAGAACCGTTCCTAAACTCTCGATGACTCTAAATTCACGGCGCAATGTTATGAAAATAGGAACGAAAACTAGGATTTATGAGTACCTGTGAGTTGTTACTAAATTGTGACCGAAATAACAATAATGTATGCCGATGACCGCTGTTTACAAAGTTGAAACCCAGACCGCATTCCTACCGTTGCGAATTCTTAAAGGATCAAAGGTACCGCTGGAAGTTTGCGTCTGCTTCTTGTCAAGGCGAATCGTCGTAATCAGATAAATCTCGTTTACATCTCACGACTTCCTTACGTGAAACACTAAATACCCTTCTTTGGAATCTGAACCAACTATATTTAGGCTCTTGGGAGTTGCTGCAAATGATCCCACGTCATTCGCTCGAATTGTGCGTCAGTAGACACCATTCCTTCATTCAGTAGCAGCTATCCAAATAGTTGATCTAATAGGTTTCACATTGTAGTGTTTTACATAAAATCATATCTTCGCCGCAGATAATTGCGAATTATTTTACCACACTATGAACCAGTGCGCTTTCCACTTGAGTTCATACAACATATTTCACAAGTTTTCAGTCTCGATAGTTGACGTATGAACCCATGAGTGGCTTTGCTGTTACGAAAGCTGAATTTTTTTAAAACCAGAATCACGAAAGCTGATTTTTTTAAAGCCAGAATCACACAATAGTGTGATGTTAATGGTAGTATAGTGCTTATCATTGATGCTTTTTTATCCATTGCTAGGTTCGTCAACGTCTGTAGTATACGTCAGTGAACCGTGCTGGGAGTGCGAGCGCGTGCGTGCGGCATGCGAGCGACTGGGCACCGTCGCGGCGGCGCCGGCGCCGGACTTGCTGCCGCCGCCACCACAACCACCGGCGTCACCCTCATACCTCGTCACGACTCCATTTGAAGGAGAACTCTTCGACGCAGCACACAAAGCCAAGTACAGGTTAGTATCAAACTAACTATCAATACCAAGTTTAACGCTGTTGAATAACGCGAAAAACAACAGGGCGATCGTATTCTCTCCTCTCTTGGCTTCCGATATCTTTCTTATGTATTTCAAGACTACGTTCGAAATAGATAACGTTCTGAGTGACCTACTTCAACACTAGGTACTCCAGTAAAATAACGGTCTCTATTATGGTTGTTTATTTTAAAGATTTCAACAATGTAGTCGATAAATGAAATGATCATTATTGTAAAGAGATTCACTAATACAGTATCTACAAGTACATTGATATAATCCACTTAACAAGGAGCGTTAGTCGTGCTCAGCTTCCGTTGAACGAGCATGGTAAACATTATACCTGCTTTGCGTATCGCCTTACTGCTTCCTTCAACTCTAAAAAAGTATAATATAATTATCGTCACGTTAGTCGGTCAACTTCGTTATTACGACTACAATAATGGTCATTTAGGATATATTCAAGACGAATCAACTTATCAACAATGGCATCTCGATATGACATCAGGATTGGTAAAATAAACCTTGGCAATTTTGCTATTATCAATTCGGTGACGAGGCGAATATGCTTGCAAGGTCTAACAATGGCAAAATATTTGCTCAGTGTGTGTTGAAATGCCAATATATGACAAGCTGGTAATGGTTTCGGTCGGTTACATAAACGGTCTGTATTAGCGACGTCGTTAACGTAATATTAAAGCGGTACGGTACCTAGTTCGCTCGCAATAAGAACAATGAAGTAATGAAGCCACCGGAGTTTATGCGTGGAGTATAATGAGACGATCGTTATTGACACTTATTTTGGCTCGGTTCACTGTTGCCCGCGAGAGTCTTAACAAGTGGCGACGGATGGTTTGTTGCGCGTTTACATTGACGACTTTTTGTTTCACCTACGCTACAGTACACAAGATGACACAAGTAGCCATGGTAGTACGCGGTTCGGTAACGCTTACCCATTCTAAAATGGTCTTCATTAAAGATGTACCGTTGTGATAAAGCTCGTTTGGCGCCTGACCGCCGTGCGGTCTGACTTAAATGTGAAAAGGGAATGGACGTTACGGACGTGGGCGTAGTTCGTAGTTAGCTGTTGATTATTGCGGTGATAGACAATACATCCGTCACTATATGGAAATCCATTGTTACTACGACTGAAAAATCTGGGAACGGATTGCACGTGAGATAAAATTACGCAATACTATTTAGAACAAAGGATATATTATAATTAGTTTCTGGCTTTCATAAAATACAAATGAACTTTACTTTCAATTTAAGAAAGAAAAAGCTTTTTTTATTATTTTACTCAGAAAGTGTGAAGAATGAGTGTGCAGTTTTACTTGCCGAAATCTCAACGAACATTCGAGGAATGAAAAGTGTAGAGCTGATCGCCTAGCTGGTGATGCGGGTTTCCCCTTTAAGAGCTCTATAAACGACACCGCCCCATGCCCTATGGTCTCACGCTCCACCCATTAAGTTCACGTTTAAAACCCCTCGCCCTATATAAATTACTTCACCTGTTATTATCATTTCACTCAATCTAAAAGTTAACCTCCACCCCACCTTCCGGTAGGAATAAAACTTCTATTATTACATGACAAGTTCATCAACCCCCGTTTTCTTTGTCGATTTTGTTCCGATACGAAGCTAGGTTCGTTATTCGTGTTTTTACGTCTTACATATTTGATTTACGAGTGGTGATTTAGCCGCCCCTTATCGCTGACCGTGTTCGTTTGAACAAGTAGCTAACGTCATTCGTACATAGTGGGATGTATGGCTTATAAACCGCTACTGGAAAATTTATCGAGCTCTGTTTGGGCATCGGTACCGAACTTGAATATGTATTGCATTCTGTTTGAAGCGGTGCAGCTGGTACCTACATTACAATGTTGATCGCCGCTGATGAGATTAATTGTTTATTGTTTCATCTCCCTTGCCGGCCGTTGTTTGCACTGTGAAATTAAACTGTAGGTCCGCTATTTATCATTTTTCTGTGGAATAATGACTCACAATTTTATTATGATATAACATATCAATTATATTCATAAGCTTCATTAATGTATTAATAGCCTTACGCAAAATGGTACTGTTTTATGTTCACCTCTGTATTTATCTTTAGATATAATGGAAGGAAAATTACCAAGCACCGAAATCAAATTGTTAAAATTGCTACAAACTCGGCGACTTTAAAGTTTTTACAGTGTATCAGAATAAATTCCGTGATTCGGTGCTGTTTCAGATTGAAATGAATTCTTGGGTGACTAATAATACCAATTAGCCTTGCACGTTTTCGTTATCCGTGTTAAACGTATTGGTCGCCTCACCCTGGTTGGCCGTTCACGCGGGATTGTTTAATGTTTATACGCACTCGGGACCTTACACACGTAAAAAGGTCATGTGTTGGGTGACTGTATTTCATGGAAGGACGTAAATAAAGGTGCGCGTACGTTGTGGGCCGTGTGGCGAGGCGGGCGGGCGGCGCCGCCGCGAGCCGTAGCGTGAGGGTCGCCCTTGCGGCTGCGCGACGCTCCACTCTATTTTTGGCTTCACATTCCACGCGACTGTTTTCCAATCTAACGTGAAACGCATAACGTGCGTGCCGCCTGCGCCTTTGTTTTTGCGGCTGCAACGTTTTCGGTTTTTTTTTTGTGAAATTCACGTGCTTCATTACGAATTTTGCGCGTGTATACGAAACAAAACTCGACGCGAGAGTTGCACGGAGCGTTGAATATAGTGGAGGCGGCGATATCTGCCACGATGTTGCAGTGTGCCAATGAATGGATCCTGTGTACAGGAAGTGTGTCAGATAGTCGCCGGACTAGTAGTGCCTGATTGATAGTTTATGTGCTAACAATGGGGCCAACACGGTTACCACCCACTCCGGAAGAGGAGGACCCGCCTCTAGATCTCTTACGATTCAAGGATGCCAAAACACCAGAGACTATTCCAACAAAATGTGATCTGTAAGATTTAATAAATTGTTTACTAGTTTCTGCTTTAACTTGATTATGATGGGCACTAATCAAGACAATAATGAACGAACGAAACGAAACGAAAAGACAATAAAAAAATGTATGATGTAGACTGACACTATTTTAAAGTGCGTTAATCACAGCAAACACAAGACTAGATAATTGTGCATGCGGCCTTTGTCAGAGAAAGCGTGTACAGGTGTTAGACGAGGACATTTTTAATTTACATACGTTCTTAGACGTTTTACTTTGCAACCCATAGTCAAGAGTGTATAACAGCTATACAATATAACGTTGAGGTTTTTACCTTATTGTCTTATGTATTGAAAACTGAAATACATAGCTAACATGAATTTGGTTCAGGTGAACATTCTCATGATTCAAAGGACTAGGCTAATTTAATCGCGGTGATTGTTTACATGTTCCTCGGAATCGGATTGTAAGTCATCAGAACTATTTCTAAGGCGACACGTACAGTGGCGATGTATGTGCCCGTGGTTGGTGACGGTGACTGTGACATCACGTCTGACCATTCGCTGTTGCGATATATGAATAGCTACTGCTAATAAGCCGACGACAATTCCGACACCTTACATTCTATTCTGACTTGAAGGATTGTTGTTGATTAGATAAGTATTACTTCACTAAGGCTAGTGTTATTCAATTGAATGTTTATTGTATAAACACCTCCTGTCTTCATTCTATCACAAGTGAAGAATAACAACCAAAAATAATATTGTAAAAAGAATGATAAATAGAGTACTTATATAGAAATCGTATATATAAATCTTAAAATAAGAATCTATTTTTTATATTTCGTGACGATACGACATGTACCAAAAATCCATGTTTCACTATAATTCCGTCACATGCCCCGACAAAAAAACTAAATGAACATGAAATTTAAACTGGTAATTACCGGTGAATTCACCGGTAATAAATATAGCTAATAAAACTCGAATGTCAGCAAACACGGGAACTCTTACACGGACGTCACGAATACCCGCCCACCACATCCACGAATACTTTAATTCATTTCTCAGGACAAATTGCGTAACCTATTAATAAACAACGATTCATGTAAAAACTCAAAGTAGTTCCCTTCGGGAATTATATTCATTCCTATTTCCAAGTAGCTTTAGTTGTTTTCCATCCCAGTTTGTTGGAATCTCTAGTTTTTGGAACGTTGTCCAGAGAGAATCACAAGAAATGTTTTTGATGAGATAGCATTAGTGCTTACTCTTAAACAAAGTTAGACAGATACAAGTACTTGAAAGATGCATACGTGAAAATTGCTAATTTACATAGTTTCTCGGGAGTGCTCTCCTTTTGCAAATAGAAAGGATGGACATTGCTAACCCACATAAAACATTTGAACATAAAATAATGTGCGGCTCTTTTATGTCTGACGTAAACTTAGTTTCTTATCCAATCCTAGATAAATTTAAATTCACGCAACTTCTACGTCCTTTCCATTTCCATACATTTTAAACTAAGTTTTATGTTAAAACTATGTTTTATTGAAATCATTTAGCGCATGCCATTCTTATATTTATCAGAATATGGTTGTTGATTCACATTACAATGTTTTAACAGGTGTTTGATAGAGATCTAATTACTGAGCAATACCCTTTATGTTATTATCAAATGCCTTAACAAATAACTAACTATTACTGTTAGTTGTAGATAACATGTAATGAAAAAGGCTTTGCACAAGCATCAGAATTTAGTTTACCTTTACACAGTATCTTTACGAAATACGTGCAAATAAAGCACCTTGGTTGCTTTTAATTCGACCGAAGTTATCCTATTAGTTGAGCATTATATAGTACGTAGATGCAGTTGAAGGTTGTTTTAAGAAAAAAAAAAATATTAACTTGTTGAAATACTTGACAAAAAGGTAGTTGGTCTATTTCCACGAAGTATATTCATAAATCGTCCCAAATACCCGCAGTGATATAAACACGACCTATCATCTATTAGTCGCTAGTTATAAAAGTTTTCTTACTAAAGTTA